GCTGGAAGCGTACGTCTCGGGTAAAAGGGTCGGTAAATCATCTGGCTTGATACAGGCAAACGGGCTTCGGGCGTCCGGTCAGGCGTCCCGTTTGTCGCACCCCCTCCCCCAACTACACTGTCGCAGTTATAGCAACTACTTTTTTTTTAAACGACGGCGACGGTGAGTTTTTGTTCCGTTTTCATCGTAGAGATAGGGAGAGAAAACATTTTTAAAATTTTGTTTCCATATATTAAAAAAAAGAAGATACTACAAAAGAATTATACTTCAAGTACAGCATAAAAACAAAAGCATTCAATTGTATCATGCAATGTTAAAACAAATGTCTGTATGAAATTAAAAATAGTACATAAACCGAATGACTCCTTAACCTGATTTAAATAAATAATATTAAACACCATTGGTAACTATTATCCATCTATAAAATAATTCAAGCACGTTTATATTCAACAAACATGCATGAATGTAAAATAATAATAGGCAGTAGCGTATCCAGAATTTTTTTTCGGGAGGGGTTATAATTTATTTTTGTGGAATTTTATTTTAAAATGATTTATTAATGATAACGTTGTTATAATTTAACAATTTTCGGGGGGGGTTACAACCCCCAAACCCCCCCCCCTGGATACGCCACTGATAATAGGTATTCCATTTCCCGTTTCCAGAAAATTGTAAATAAAAAATTCTCGAATACGACTATAATAAAAATATATTATTGTATTCGTGAGCTTGTGCAGGTTATGAAATATAATATTAAATATTAAGTTATTGGATATTAAAAAAATCGTGAGTAGCTCATATTGTGTGGTGACCTGTGCGGCTGTACCCTACCGTTAGCAAGTCACTAAAGTGAACATGTGCATGTGTTAACATTGCTGATATTAATTCGATTTTCAAGTGATGAAATAACGTTTACCAAAAACAATTTTAAACAACATATTTTTTGTTATAATGTGGAAATCAGTTATAATTTTTTAAATCTAATCTGTTAGATGTCTTACAAAAAAATGAACAGTTTTTTTAGGATATTGCGTAAAAACTAAAATACAATTTAAAAGGAATTTATTTATTAAAAGTACAGGCAGATAGCCCGATGATTAGCAACTAAAATATTATTATAACAATTTAATCTTAAATTAACATAAATTATATAGAATACGAGAAAATTAACAGGGGAAGACGCTCTGCTGTATAGTTGGGTGTCTAATGTACCTAATCGTTGAGTAGGTCACCGTAATGGATCTATTAAATTAAATATTAAATCACTGCACATGAAAAGCGTTTCTGAGTGGAAACGCACTATCAGCCTATATTTCTAAAGATATTAGTAATTTATTTTTCTATTAGTAAGTAAAACAGTTGAATTTATTTTTTTCAAAAACAAATTACGAATATTAGGTATAATGATTATGATAAAATTATTTCTTAAAATATGACTAGCTGTTCTTAACTTGTACTGACGTACCGTAGAATAGTGTAAAGAGGTTCAGGGTATAAATAGCTTAAAATTAATCTAAATATATTGAAAATTTCATTGTGTATGTATAGGCAGGGCTTGAATTTGAAAAATATTCCGTTTTATGTTATTTGCAAATAAAACGTTACACAATTTTTGAGTTTATCGTTATTTAAAATTAAAACTTTATCCAAGTTTTGCGTTTATCGTTATTTAAAATGGTGTTAATACCTATTAAATTTAAAAATAATAACTAATGCAGTAATGCATGACCAAATGGCCCAAATACGGAATATAATATAATACATTTTTAGATTGTTTGAATGAAATAATTAATGTTTCTACTAAACCAATAGACCTTTTAAATAAATAGATTTTAAAATATTTCGTTTTGCGTTATTTTTCGTTCAATGAAATTCTATAAATTCCTTTTTGTTTTATTTTTTGTTTAATGATATTCTATAAATTACGTATAGAGTTATATTTTGTTTAATGATATATAATATATTTTGTTAATCGTTATTTTTGTTTTGCGGTAGTTAATTATTTTTGATTATCTATTTCCGCTATAATAACGTTTACAAATTTCAATCGTTTTTTGTTAAATATAACATTATAATCATAACGTTATTATAACGTTTGCAAGCCCTGTATATAGGAAACAATAGGGGTGAAATGTTTTTAGTCCTTGAAAATAATATTTTAGAAAGTATGACAAAAAAACTAAAATTGTAATTTATTTTTCGTTTATTTATCCAATTTTTTTAAAAATTAAACTTAAAATGTCTACCAAAAAAATACCACATACATTTTCGTGATTTTCAGGTTGCTGTTAAAATAATTTAGGAGAAACTTTACGATAAAATGTTCAAGAATTGGCTATTACAAATAAATATTGTATATGCATACATTTTTAACTACAAAAAAATTCACAAATTTATATAATTTTGTCAACATTTCAATTTCAATCGATTATAATAAAATTGTGACTCAATGCAAATTATTCCACTCACAGTCAAAATTATATCAATCATAAATTGAAAAATAATACAAAACGTCGAAAATTTCAAACTCAAATAAATAGCACAAAATATAAAAAATTTTGAAAATTATTTTTTATCTGGAGAATGCTAATATACATATTTGGTGAACATTTCAAGTCTCTGTATCTAATTGCTCAACTTAAAATCTAAAGTAACCAACAAAAATAATTAAATAAGAACAATAATAAGAAAAGCAGAAAGGTAGTTCTATACATTGCTAATTTGTATATTAAGGCTAATAATTGGTGCACATCTTACATAAAGAAAAATTTTAAAATTGATACGTATATTTATTTATTCACTATTTCATTATGTTTAATAAATTGTTCATAATAATATACCAACTACATTAAATCAATAAAACATATTAAAAAATTACAAAATGTATTTTAATTGACTTCATTATCTGGCAGTATAGTAATGAGTCTAGTAGACAGATTGTTGTGTTAGTTTACATGTAAATCGGGACCAGCCTGTTTGAGTTAAATACGTGAAATGAGTCAATTAACTCATTGTTAATGAGTCAAACAAACCACTGTATTTATATTATTATTTTAATTAAAACTAAAAATAATTTTTTTAAATTAGTCGTTTGATGTTTTTTGAACATCTGAAAAATCTGACTAAACTTTGCTACATATTTCCAAGGCCGTTTAAAAGGAGTAGGTGATTACTGTATTTATTAAATTATAAATTAATATGAATGTAGAATTCTCATGAATATTATTATTCATAGCAGCCGAATATTTTTAATTTTCTCCATATTATTTTTCTTTCCATTACTGGCGATAATAAATATTCAGCATCATAAACAAAATCTAAATACGAAAACTACAAAATTCCCCAAAAAAATGTATAATTACCAAGTAGAAAAAAACGTGAAAAAATGCTAACTAAAAATTACTTTGCCAATAGCCAGTAGGTATAGGTACTAATAATTCGTATATTCTTCTAACCCATTTTCCACTTATACAGATCTACATTAAAGACAAAAAAAAAAATTAAACTCATTGATGTATGAAAATATAATTTTATTCTTTTTGAGCTATTTATAGGCATAAGACAATTTCGATTATTTTTAGTTTTTTCTAAATTATTTATAATAAAAATATGTTCCCTCTGTCAAAATACTGGAACATTTTATACAAGGTTCCTCATAAATTATTGTTAGTGGAAATAGAGAAAAAGTTGAGTGTAAATCCACAGTTAGTTTTTATGAGAGTCTGAAGTTCAAATCTTTAAAAAATTCACCAAAATCACGAAAATTTGTAATAATTTTCAGTTAGAATTTCATAAAAATGTTTCAATGTATATCTAAGATTTGAAAGTTTATTACGAGGTTCCCCATACGTTTTTCTACATTGATACAATTACTATAATAGCAATGATATGGAAGATACTTAGTATTATAAGCTGATAGACCATCTCAGCTCAGAATCGTTTTTTATTATATAATGATTTTATATCATTCGTTTAAAATTTAACATATTCATTACAATAACTCCTCTAGACAGCTAATGTACAATAGAGCGTTATCCATTTTTTATATTTTAAGTCTATAAATAATAATAATTTGTTATAACTTATAAGTAACAATAATTTAATATTGTCAATTCATATTTATGACTACGATGTTATGATTATATTAATACTTTAAGGAGTTTACTTAATTTAAAAATAATTGTTAAAATATCTGAATGTTTGCCATTAAGAATAATACGCCACACCAACATTTACTGTCGTCGGTCTTTGTTTCGTTTACATCATTACTAGTGTCTGCCACCACCCTGTTTAAATATTAAATAGTTCATCATTTGTACTTTTCAGTAAAATTTTAAATATTTTGAATGTACTTAAGTCCTTAAAAATATTACACAAAACATCAGAACAACTAAGTTTGTCATTTAAAAATTAAATTGCTTATTTGTTTCATGAATTCTAATCATACACTAAATAAATAAATAGATATTTTATGAATGAGTAAATATGAAATTATTATGTTCAGGATTTCATTGACGCATTTAACACAGAGTATATTTTGTTTTGTTTGTTTTCTAAAACCTTGTACTAAACGTAATTTATAAAATGTCAATAAATCTGATTGTGAAATGCCAAATTCGTCCTCTATCACATTGGACAAGTAATAGTGTTAATTTTGTAATAGTAATTTTGATGTCATAGTGAAGTAGTTAGTTTTTGTGTAACTATTCTATAATTAAAATATTGAACAGCACACATGCATTTAGTTTAAACCAACAAATTAGCTCTAATAGCAGCAAATCCTATCAAAATATTATATACGATATACCTACTGAAATTATAATACTTAATTTCATATATATACTTCATAAATTTAAAATATATATATTTTTTTTTTATAATGATATCTTCTTTGTTTATCATTCTCAATGACGTGGCTCCCATTATTATTATTTATGTTGTAATATTAAAATGTAGCTACAATTGTTTTATGACTACACACATTATGTTTTATATTATAGTTCCAGTTTACCACGTAAGAGCAGTCGCGGGGCAGCAAGCTCGTTTACCTTGTGATATCTCGTTGGTATCCGACGAAGAAGATGATTTATCAGATCCAGGAGCTGATTCACCGCCCCTTGACGGCGAAAGCTCTCTTGCATCTGGAGCAAATTTAAGGGATGCTGTACTATTGGTTTTATGGTACCGTGATGACCTGGGCACACCAATTTACAGGTATTAAACAATTTACAATCGTTTTATTATAAACAGTAATATTATTTGAGCTCCACTGAGTAAGGTCTATATTATAATCATCTTTTGAAATTAATAATATGGACACAGTGAAAAATTATTATTAAAAATAATAACATTTACATGAGGTGAAATTTAAGATGCAAATTAATAATTAAAATAAGTACCTATAGTATATAGATATATATTACTTTTGATTCAATGTAATTTCATTTTTTTAATAATATTTTTTTCTTATTTATTTTAATTTGAATGTATTACTTTTGAAGTTTTAAATAACAATCTATGAAATATACAGTGTTTTAATGTTTAAAAGATTTTAAAATATTATGAGATACTTAAGAAACACTTAATTTATTCATATTTATAACAATAATTTTGGTTAATGTTTTCTTATTTTCAATATCTCCAAAATTATTAAATTAAATGTTGATAGCTTGTTTTTATTATGTTTACCAATCATGGTTGATATTTACATAACATTTAATTAAAAAGTATAATACTCTTTAACATTATAGTAAAATAATTATTTGAAACGTCTATAGTAGGTATGTAATTTGTGACATGACTATTTTTATCTCCCAATCATTGACATCTAATATTATTATACCATTAAAGAAAATTGAATTTTTAATTTGAAATATTTCACACAACTATATTTCTAAAAGATAATACTTATTTAAACTATTGATCCATTTATGATAAAGTTATATACGAGTAGGTACATATTTACTGTTTATGCCTAGGTATCCTACGTGGCTACGCATATCATTACAAAACGTATTAAGTTCGTATTTCCCAGAAATATTCACATATCTTTAAATTTTGGTTTAAGACGTTAAATGACCATAATAAAAATGAAAGAGAATAACATTTTTAATACTTAAAATCCTTCAATATTTTTCATCAACTTACTATATAAAGCTTACCACGCCTTTTTCATTTAACCATTTTCAAAGCTATATAGATTGCATAATATTATAATAATACACTCATTATAATCACCACTGTTGCAAAACATTAAAATGTTGTGCTCTTTGATTTCTGTACTTAGTATTTTTCGTTGAAAACAATATGATGAATATTCCTTAGAAATATAACTCAAATATGAATTTAAGTTTTGCCGTGCAATGCGTGGGATTAACAAAGAACGACAATACGAAATAGCAACCTTTTAATAAACATTAAATATTGATTATGTAGTTATGTTCAAAGTTTTAAAGAGAGGAAGTTATACTAGTCGAATATAGATGTAGGTATGCAAAGATAAAACAACTTCTACATTACTAGTAATTAAATTACGAGATAGTAAAACTTTAAAGGGATTCTCAAAAATATTTCTTGATGTAGGTTTATTAAAATAATTGATTTTTATATTAACTAAAATTATATATTTTTAGATTATTTTCTTGATATTTATTTTAGTATTGATCATTTTTAAATTTTAATTAAGATTTAACATAATTTATTTTCTAAATGGATTTTTTCATTGAGACTACATTGTTTGTTTTAACGCGATTTCGATAATTTTCACCTTTGTATTTTATGACAAGGTATAATACATATAATAGGAAATAGGAATACATATACGAATTATATATTGTAATAATAATTTTAGCATAGGTAATATTGGTTGAAATGTATGATAATAATGTAGATTATTTTTCGGTGCAAAATATTAAATAAATACATAAATAATTAATTTAATTTTAATAGTTGTTTACTTTAATACAAGTATGACGATGGTGAAATGTTTTCTTAGTATGACAATATATTTATACATTAATTGTGACGTGGCAGATTATCAGTTATCAAGTAACAATTGATCGAGTCACTATTTATTTACTTTTCAAGCATTAAATAGCTTGTAATAAATTAGGTTAAACAAATTAAATTTAATAGTATACATCATATAGATTAATATAAACTATTCTTCGTTTAAAGGACTATTTAACTAAGTTCTGGAGAATATAGGTACAATTTATTTCCAAGACGTCTAAATTTAATATATCTTCAGAGATTTTTTAATTTATCTTCTAGTTGTATCCTTGACTAGAATAATTATTTTAGTATGTCGAACAATGAAAGTTATTGTCATTTAAAATAGGAAATGTCTCACTTTCTTTGGACGGATGGATCCTCTAGTTTAGGTTTCTAAATGTATCTAATTATTTTATTGAAATTATATATGTATAACTAGTAAAAGGATGTAGCAACCAGCAGGGTTTGCTTTTAAAAATACGGTTTCTACGAATAATGGTTCTTTAAATTCAAATTCCATGTTCTAACATAAAATTAAGTTCTTATTTTATAAAACATTTTATATATATTACTTACACATAACTTCACTAACTTGAACAAAACTTTGACATCTTGTCAAATAACAAAAACGCTCTTATTTGTTTATTTTCTCAAAATTAAAAATAATATTTATACACTGTAAGGTTAAAATTTAACTGAGCTAAAATTGTTTTATAAAAAATAATATAAATAATTTTAAAGTCAGGTAAGAAGTTTGGCATTTTTTCTTCTTGTTCTTCTTCGGTTTTCAAAGGCCATTGAAGCCCATTACCGGAAAACATACCTATCAGTGCTAATATGTTTCTGGATCTTGTATTTCAATTTTTATTAAATTCTTTTCGACTTGGTCTATTTACCTTGCTTTTTGTCTGTCCACCTTTCTTTTTGTCTGAACTGGTGGTATTTTGCCATTGGGTTTCCACTTAATTTGTTTTCACTATTTGGGTCATCACACGTCACCAGCCCATGTAGAAATTATTCTATATCACAGTATAGCTCCTATGTCAGGTTACATTACTTCTCTGTTTATTTTATTGTTAAGTGATATTATTCTTCTTTAGTCCTTCCTCCTTACGTACCTTCCTCAATATTCTTTTTTCAAGGATTTTAGTTTTTTTTCATCTCCTTAGGTGGTCGGTCATGTAAATCTATTGTTATAGCCATGATTCTTAAAATTAATAAAATGTCAATTAATGCTTTATTAAAAATGTTTATATTAAATTATGGAAAATGTAGAATATTACGATGGTATTAAATTAAATTTTTTTTTTGATATACAGTGTAATTATTTCAAATAACTAATTTACAATGTCATATTCTTAATACATATATTATAAGAACATCCTTTGTCTATATTCAGTTTATAGGCATTTAAAGTTTGATTTACGGCGAAGTTAGTTTGATAATATTACTTTAATAAAGTTTACAATTTTAATATCAAAGACATAAAACTTTAATAAAAGGTTAAGGAATATAATTATCTTACGTTATCCGTCAAATTTTGAAATGTGTCTTTGAATTTTTTTAAAATTAGAACAATTCGAAGTGAGACGTATTCTTACTCATCAATAGTATAATTCTTTGTGTACCTTGTCCGTTTATATTGTATAACAATTAACTTAGTTATTTTTAGTCACTTACATGGCTACATATTTGTATTATTTATACTATAATTATATATTTTTATTAGTACTAATATTATTACTAATAATATAATAATAAATTACAATTTACCCTTTGAAAAATATGATTCGACTCTTATAAGTATTGTGTCTACGTTTTATATTGCTTTTTAACCAATTACATTTTTATTAATGTGTTTCTGTGTTATTTGGTTATTTATTTACTTTTAACAAATTGTATTTTAAATATTTCTGTTATTTTTGCAATATTTATATTTATTATTACTAACATGTTCTTATTTTTATAATTATTTAACAGCGTGGACGCCAGATCTTCTTCTACACATACTCATCAGCCGTATGACTCCACGTCGTATCATTTGATGACCACGGGTGCAGAAAGATGGTCTGACCAACGAGTGTTTGGTGACCGAGCACATTTTCATGTTAACGCAGACAAAACAGAAACAGAATTGAAATCGAAAATAAATAGTCAAAAGAAATCGACTGTCTCGACATATTATTCATCGGAATTAAGAATCGACCGGGTCAGCGTAAAAGACGCGATTCACCTTTACCGGTGTCGAGTTGATTTTAGATTAGCTCAAACCCGCAATTCAAAAGTGAATCTAACTGTGGTCGGTAAGTCTATGTCAATTAAATCATTAAAATCATAATAAATATTACCTTGAAATAATATATTAGGGATATTTTGCTATAGATAAGATATATATTACATATCCTATAGGCCATACAAGATAGTTAGGTATATATTTACAAATTAAAAAAGAGGAAAAAATGAGTTGATTAAAGTTTGGTATAGTTATTATGTGTTTGATAAAATTGCATAAAATCAAGCAATGCGAATCAATTAATGTTATGATGTATCATACATTATTTTAAGATTTTTAAATTCAATATCGCTTAGTATTTTAATTAAATCGATGGCTCTGTAGTGTTTACTAGTGAATAAAAAATATGACGTAGCATTGATAGAACTCTACTACCTATAATAATAAAAATTTTTTTTTTCTTGAATTGAATTGGAAATTCCATATTATAATATTGCATTTAAAGTTTAATACTTCGCAATTTCGGTGTGTGATTACAATATAAATAAATTATTTCGTGGTATTAATTACATTTTAAAACTTTCATAAATCAAATTACAATGATTGAAAAATAATGTAATTTGTTATAATTAATTTAATGCAACGGAAAACGTTGTTATAGAGATTCCACGAAAGAGCTCTTTAGACATTTCCATTATTAATATGATTAAGTTTAGGATTTGGTGCCGAGCGTAAGAATACACCTCTCTATCTATAATCTCTCTTTCTCTATATAATGTTATATATATAATTGCGAGCAAAACATGAAACGATATAATATATAGGTATACAAATAAAGGCAGAAAATTGTATGGTGTTGCTAATAAGTAATAATGGTCGTAGTCTATGGGTAGCAGCGGCGGGAGATTACGGGCCGGGCGGCCAGCAATGCCGGGACGAGCAACTACTGGGAACGAGACTTTTGGCGCGTATTATAATACGTGGGTGGGTTCGGCTTCTGCTCGGGTTGTTGCTCGGTTTTTCGGTGCAAAAAGGTGATAAGGGTGGGTTAAATGGTTGGAGTGGGGGGTGCGGGAGATGGACATGGAGTGGAAGAGAGATGGGTTCGTGCACCCGCCACCGGGCTGTGTGTGTGAGTGTGTGCGTATTATATACAATATATATATATATATATATATATATTATATATAGCATGAGAACATCCGGGTGGAAATTCATCACCGCCGCGGCCGCGTCGGATAGCATGTATATATACCTACATGTGGAGCGTATATTTTATATTACGTTTGGTCGAATACCGCAACGACCCAGAGTGACTAGGTTTGTCCACGGCATTCCGCGTGTACGCGTATAAATGTTGCATCATGCTGTCGTCGGTAACGCGTTCACAGCAGCGCGGAAGCCGGTTACGCCGTTACACTTACGTCTCGGCGGCGTACGCGTGTACACGCGAATGGGTGGACCGAGGATGAGCGAGTGAGCGGCGGCGAACAAAGTGGACGGGTTTTTTGGACGGTCGTCGTCGTTTGGGGTGTTGAGCGGGGGTGGTGTTGGCGGCGCGACAGTTGGACGGAGGAAGTGTGAATATACGGACGGGCATCCGGGCAGGGTTTGACGACAGCGCGCACTGGGTGACCGCGCGTGGGCGACGTGTAACGCGCGGAGCGGTGGCTTGGCAAGTCGTGATGGTTTAGGGCGAGTGTATAGGGGTTGGGTGGTGGTGAAGAGGGTGTACTTGCGCGCTGCTATATCGATCTCGTTCGGGCGGCAGCACCCGGTGGCGGTGGTACACGCGGGATGGGGACGCTGCGGCAGTGTTGTCGAGAGGAGCAGAAGCGGAAGGGGTGAAATGACGTAGCGGGTGGGACGGGGGTGAAATGAAAAGCTCTCGAACGTTGGCGGTGTGGCTATATAGAGTCGTTGTTATTATTATTGTTATTATTACTATTACTATTGCTATTATTATTATTATTATTATTATTTTCCTCTGTGCCTGGTGACGGAAGAAAGGGAGTCTAAAGGAAATACAACTATGAGTGGGTGGGTAGCAGTGGAATGATACCGCGGACGATGGTGTATACACGGGTGCTGGCGGGAAAAAGAGTGTAGTATAAGCAGACTAGGTAGTGATCGAGAAAGGGTTGAAAGGGTGGAAAGGTGATGGCAGGTTATGTATGACAGAAGACAGTCATGAATCGAAACGGCGGTAGTGGAATCCGTTGATTCCTTTGCATCCATTATTATATAGTAATCGTTACAAAGGACATTCGACGCTGGCAATTTCTTTATTTAAAACTAAAACAATAATACATTAATTAACCAATTTCGATTCTATGAATAATTAATCTACTAACAAAAAATTAACTTTCTCATTCTTGTACATATTGGCACTTTATAACTTTTATTGTAATTTATATATAAAAAAAACTCGCAATTATATTGCTTTTCATATAATTGATTCCATAACATCGCCAGGAATCGTTTTTCAAATGCTGCAATAATCGCTATCCCATTTAATAAATCACATCTCTAACGCACGCACTATTCCGTGGTCTATACTAAAATAATGATTTACCGATGATTAAAGAATGTCAGTAAAAAAAAAAATGATTTTAATAATATTATTTTATTACACGTATAATATAATGATATGATAATTGGCCCTAATGTGCCGAATCGGATTCCATCGTTAATTTTTAATAGATACCTATACTACGGAACGCGCTGTGGTGCTCACTGATATTCTTAAAAATGATTTATTATTTCACCTAAAATATTTAAATTTATTTAAATTTTATGACTCGTTATGTAAAAATGTTTAACAAAATAATGAATAATATTTATTTTGCTAAATAAAAAAAAAAATGTTCGTAATATACACCAGTATACCAGACCAAAGTTTAAAAAAGCTTTTTTAACGATAACATATTTTTTCGTTTTTAAACACTAAGTTAAATCTAATTACCTGTCTAACATTTTTAATGAAAAAAACTAAAAGATATAAACTTGTATTTTTTGTCAACCCTAGTCATATAAGTAAAACCACACCACCTCTTTGCTCATAAAACGATTACCATAATTGTGACAATGTGGTGATGAACACAACATTGTGTTCGCATGCAAGACGGGCTGCACGTACAAAAATAATTACTATACTATAGGAATACGCACGCAATCTTCTAGTCGGTACTCTAGTCACGTATTTTACCATTAAACCCTGTAACTGGACACGACTTGCAGTTTCAAAATTATTAATCGTCTCCGCATACATTTGTATTGGTTGGGGTATTCGACGGGGACAATTTACTTATCTTCCGCTGCAATCATTGCCAATCGGGGCAATACCATCGCAATAAAACAATAATATAGGTACCTAATAGTAGTTGGTCGGGCGTGGAGTGCGGTGAAATGGCAAATTGTTACGGCAGTTATAACAGCAGTCGCCGAGTTCTGCGAATGGAATTCGGAATGTCTCCCCTAGGTCACGGTATTTTTTTATTTTTTTTTATTGCTGTTTAGTCAATCGAGACAGCTATAGTGGAAAGGGTGTGTACGCAAAAAGAATATCCGAGTAGATGATAAATTATGGACTTTTCTATAATGTGTAATAGGTTGGCATAAATAATAAATAATGTATAAAATACGTCATATAAATATATAATAGGAAATCGATCCATATAGTGATGATAGATACAGATATGTGGATTACGGGTATAATATATAAATTAATAGATAAATTATTAATGAATTCATAACGACGTGCTAAACGCATACGCTATTAAATTTTGTGATTATTATACGTATTGTGTTACGCAGTGCCACCGGATCGCATGGAAATTATGGACTTGGCCACGGGTCGACAGCTACTGCGACGACAAGACGGAGATAGCGTTAATAGCAAAAATGATCGAGGGTCGGAGGCGTCTACCACGACTACCACAACGGTCGTAGGGCCTTATGTCGAGGGATCGGACGTGCGTGTTCGCTGCCGGGTATATGGAGGTTAGTTTCGTTATAATATATAATATGTACCATGATAATAGCTGAAATCAAATTTCCATTTGTGTAGTATAATAATGGTATTGTACTACCCCACAATATATTTCGGTAGCGTTTGGAGCAGAGTTTACCGTCACATGTTTTACAATAGCCACTTTAAAAAAGTTATTTATCGCGTTCGCTAAAAATATTAATAATAATCGCACTACTCTAGTACAGTCGTACCTCCGTATCATATGGGGTCATGTGTAAAGCATGTATATAGCCAGACTCATCAGAGTTTATCATCGTGTTTTACAATCTGGCCATAATCTTTTACGCTTATTCATTTTACTGTCTTTGTACACTGAATAATACAAAAGCAGCGGGGTGGGTACACTCGTCGTCTTTGTGCGCAGCAGTACTCACGAACGCCCTTATATTGGGGCCGGCGTGTGTGCAAACATTATCAGTCGTTCCCGGCATAGTATTCATCTCGCCACTAATATTCCCCCGCCGACAGTACGGTATATACCACCGTCTTTTCACTTATACACCCCCCGGTAATTATTTATTTATTTCTATCATCGTTTCCATATTATTTAATATGCACCCACCAAAGCCGCCACCAACCAAGTGCGTGTTACGTGAAATATGTTTATTGTGTATACGCGTATCTTAATTATGAAGACGACAAATGTTAGATTTGAGCTGTCCACGAGGTGCACGGATTCACATAACCACACTTGGTCCCCGAGTATTCAAAACAATAAATTATTATCCTTTTATATAGAGACATCTGGTCATGCACACTCTGCTCGTTCTTTCTGACGAGCAGAATTAATTATCTTTTTACAAAAATAAAAAATAAAAACTATAGGTTATATATAATACGTGAATGTTGGTTTATTAATAATTCTCCTCGTTTTCGTTAAATGTATTCATCGTAATATTCTTTACTGAGTAAACAAGTAGAACATCTCAACTATCCCTCCTAGTTCATGTATATAAATTACAAAGAAACAATATTTATTAGCTCCCTATATTCCTATAAATAATATAAAATATGTTATTATGATTCAAGAATCTTAAAAGTGAGTAGAAGCGTTGTTGAGTTTTAATTTTAGATTCCGGGTGGATCGAGGGAGTTATTAGTTTTACGGTAATGTGTGTTTTGTTGTACATCCGCTTTTGCCAGGAAACTATTACTAGGGAAGAAAAAATAGCTCAATAATTTTCATGCAACGATTTTATAATTTAATAATTAAACTCAGATATTGCATATTTTATAAACGCTTTTATCACATATATTGGGTTCTATAGTCTATACCACCATGTGCATGCATATTATTTATTTCATGAACTAAAAAATAATCGTCGAACAACACTATTTCGTAGTATAGGTATACCATATACCTACTTAAAGTATAAACTGTATGAATGAAATAGAATGATTTTTCTGTACTAACAGTGTTTCATTCAACAAAAATGTAAAATAATACTAGTATTTTATTATCCTGAAAAATTGTTAGGTGGTTTTTTATTTTCATAAATGCTTTGCCCAGTTATACCAGATATTGTGGTGCATATTACCAAATAAACTTTTTGAATTTTTTCAATTCCCGGTGATTTTCGAACAAGTAACCACATTCTTAACAAAATCTTGGCTAAGTTTTAGAATACAGGGGTTTACTAAGAATAATTTGATTAAATACCATAATTGTTGCCTTAAAACTAAAAATCATAATACACTACTACTCTTCGTTCAAGTGAATATTGGAGCCAGACCAGTTCCTAATATTATATAAAGTTTTGACCACACAGCTATTTTGTATTAACCATAGTTAATACTATAGTTGAGCATTTATTTATTTTTATTTTGAATTTGTATATTGACGGAATAAGCGAAGACCCCTACTGAAAGTGGAGAATTGTACTAGTATACAGATTAATATTATAGGTAGTACAAATTTATTTATGAAAGATAATATAACACCTACCATATTGTAATCTTTAGTTTCTCTGCAAAATCATATTACAACTCATATTATAATAGGCTAAATCAATGAAAAAGATTGTTTAAGTATTTTCTTAGCATATTATGCAATTAAAAAAAAAAATTTCTATTCTAGTACCTAACATAAAATAATTCTATATACAACAGAGTTATTTGAATTTAATGTTACAAAACTTAAAAGGATTACATAAGACTATTATAATTTATAATCCCCGACATTTTTGAGACATTAAATTTGAATAACCTTGTACAAAATATTTCGTGCATATTATATTATAATTTTGATATGTTAATATCGCATTAAGTTCAATGTGCATTAAGAAAATGCACATGATGTTGAAACTCGAATTAATGGAATTAACATTTTAAAATGAAATTATAGAAATGTAATACATTATATCATTGTATAAATATATAATGAAATATACATTTTTTAATTATTAATTCAAAATTGATTCTTTTTAGTACTTTGATTCATTTTTTAGCCTCCAATTAATAGCAATCTATACAAAGTACGTGAATACCTCTGTAATCTGTATATTTTAATTAAAGGTTTTATATAATATATTTATTCATAAGTGATACTTAAAAAGCAAGGTTCTTAAATTTAAGTAATCATTGTTAATTTATTCCCATATTTTAATATTTTATAATAAATTATGAATGTTTAAAACACATTAAATAATTAAATGTACAAAAATTACTTTTAAACAATTTATATTTTCAACCATCATCTAGAATTTCTTATTTATAATAATAATAAATTATGAATAATATAGATCTCTACATAGACAAACGATCCCTTAATATATTTTCGTATTATATAACAATCAATTTACTATACTAATAGAAAATAAAGTATCCAAGTTAAATTATGTTTTACTACACATGAATGGCAATTTGTTAAAAGGGACCCATATAAATTTTCAACTAATTTTCAGGAGAAACAAAAAACAGTTTTCCTTTATTTCTATTTGCGTAATAAGATCAAACATCACAGTTTAGATTAAATAGTATTGTATCAAAAATAAATTGCAAAAAAAAAATTATTTAAAAAAATTTGTACTTTTATAAATAACGAATTTTTGTAATGTGACATAGCCACATAGGTACCTCCTGGCTCCTAACCAAATTCTAATAATTTTATTAATTTAATATAATAGTCACATTTTAAAATAATATAATACCTTCTTATTTATTTTATCCAATTAAATAGATAACAATGCAACTATAAATATAATAAACTTTGAATATAAACAAATGAATAACAATCTTAAAAAAACAATATTTTTTTATTAAAATTAAAAAAAAAGAAAAACTTATGTACCTAATTTTATTGAATCAGTCTTTGATTTATGTAAACGATGTGTTTACATAAGAGGATGAATAATAATATACAACAAAACTATTTTTTTCAAAAATGTAACTTGGGTCCCTTTTAACAAATTCCCATTCACATATAAATTAGGTATCACACTTAATAATAGTAAAAAAAAAAAATAAATTCTGATTGTGGCGAGAGATTTATTGGTTTACAATGACGTTTGATTATTCTCTTGTAGTAAAATGAAGTTTAAAATATGAAAAATGTATTATAAATGTATAACTCATAAGGTAACTTTAAAACTTTTAGTAATTTTGGATATAATCACGGAAATTGCGAAAAAATGTTGACGATGTTGAAAATGTTAACTATAAAATATATAGTAATATTTATCAACTTTGCTACCTGTGCAAATACATTTATTACGTATAAAATAAGTATATTTACCATGATACAAAGTAGCTTTACAGAAATTTAAATGTATTAATCATTGGTTTGTACATTTTCAAGATAGAATATTTCAATCATAAACTTTACTTTATATGAATTTAAACTAAGTTAATATAAAATATTCCTACCTACTACATTCTCTGTTATGATTTTTCTTAAGTTGATGCATTTATAATATGCTTTGAATTATAAAGTCGAAAGCATTTAATTGCAGTAATAAATGTATTGGTTTTCTAATAACGATTTTTCTAGTTTTATTTAATGGAAGTAGAATCACATCAAACCCACATAGCACTTTCTATCTATTATTATTAAATTCCTATAGTTTTTAGAAATACCTACGGGTAATCTATTTTGAACAAAATGTAGGTATTTCAGTTATTTTATTGTGATTGAAAAATTATATAGTCCAAACGTGTTTTAAATTTTTTAAATTGTATTTACCAAAGTTTTGTATAATTATGAGAGCTAGGATTATTAATACTATAGTGTTATTTACAATAAACAATTAAATTAAGTTATTGTGGTTACACAAAATATAGGGAGTCCAAGAATTATAAAATGGTTGTTTCATTTGCAAATGTAATTACAACATTTTAAAAATAACTCATCCACGCATCAATAATACGATTTTATGTGTTTACAGCATTTGGTCCAGTTGGCATTTTGTTTTTATTGTTGTACATTTGTACCTATTTGGTTTAATATTTCAGAAAGTATACTGATTTACATAGTTATTCAATACAATAATAAATAATATAATACCTACATTACGATTTATGAATATATATTAAATTTTATTTTAAATATAATAAGTTATTCTATTTAAACTTATTCTATTATTTATTTTATAGGCAAACCAAGACCTCGTGTAGCATGGTTTCGAGATAATCGGTTATTAAAACCAGAATCTGACGATCCTGATGATATCAACGTTTCTCAACAACAAGACGTCACTGCTATTGACGGTTATGCGACAGCAACTGTTACATCAAGCTCGTCCACTTCCACCGGAGGTGACAACTCGGAAGGAGTTTTAGAAGTAGATCTGACCTTGACAGGATTAACGCGTAGCGATTTGCACACCGAACTCACTTGTCGAGTGTGGAATTACTTTTACGACGACGAGGAGTATTCAATTATTGTTACCAATAGTGGTTCGAGTAATATTGATACAAGTATTGAAAAAGAAAACATGAGCGGAGATGTTGATCCCAGCCGTTGGACCCTGAGACAACGTCAGTCTTCGTTGACAGCCGTCGTTCATGTGGATATGAATTGTAAGTAAAATTATTGAACATTTAATCAATTACATTATTATACAGTTATGTAAATCGTTGTGCGAAAAGTTTGGTTGGATATGTTTGTCAATTCCGTTCGGTTGAATGCGCTCGTGCTGCTAATATTCGGTCACTCCATTCCTAGAAATGAGGACAGAAATCTAACTTAGCATTTGTTATATTCTACATTATTTCTCGAGAACAATGAATTGTACTAAAAAAAATCCGTGAAAAATGTTACAACAAGTCTATTACTTCGTGTTGTTAATTGTTATATATTTATGTGGTCAACAACAGTCGTGTGTAAAATCGACAGCCTCCCTGAAGTATAAATATATAGCCCCTTTTATACTATGACGATAAAATTATACAAATTTATTACCGAGTCCACGCGTTAAACTCACGAAAATCCCGGCGTAACACCAAAATCTGCACAATATAATCATATAACAATAATAGCCGTCATGTTTCGTACAATACATATGTAATAATATTATAGTATTCTATCCCGCTCTCTTTTCGTCTCTACATCGTCTCTCTCTCTCTCTCTCCCTTTCCGTCGTGTGTGTGACTCTCGTTAATTACCAGCCGAGTACCGAAAGTGTGTGTGTGTGTTTGACAGCTACAGTTTTCCAACGGCGCAGGACACGCGGACGCTATATAACAGTATAGTTTCGCATACACCCACACTCCACTGAAATCGACCACCCATACCCCCCACGTGGGTCGTGCACTCGTGTGATGTGTATGCGTGTGTATGTATAGGTATATAATATAATATATACACGTATACGTATATAATATGTACATGTTTATGTATCCTCGCGTATATGTAGCGTATAGAGTAATTAATTGGCACGGTACACTACACCGCCAAACGACACGTCGTTTTTAATTACACGTAGGCAAAAACACTCATTATATAATATATATAATATGTCTGTTTTGGGGGTGTTTGTGTGTGTCTGTTCGAGGGTATATGTGTGTGTGTCTGTGTGAGGTGGACGGGGGGTGACAGTGTGTGCGAGTTACGATATACGCGCGCGTAGTATAGTTGAACGTGGAGCATATATTATAATATATTCGTACTTGGCGGCGACGGGGGCCGTAGTTGTTCATGTCACCATTTTTCACGTGGTGGCCCAACCGCCGACGACCACCTAACCCGCCGGTCATGGCCAATCGAAATTAATCGGCGACCCTGGTTAACGGGTGGTATAAATAGTAATGCAATATTGTAGTGACGACAAAAACGCCGAAACGTCGAAAACCAGGACCACGCGTGCATATACTAAAATACACGTAAATTAACCTCCCATACAATATGTATATACATGGATATTGTCCTCTAGTATGCACTGCACATATATTACACACTCGTGCGTGGGTTGTAATAATTATATGGGTAAGCTGTTTAATTCTCTAAGTATTTGCGCAGTATCTATTATCTATGTATTAATACATACTAGAATATTTTGTTACCGTAAAAGCTCGATTGATTATGACTATTTAATGGTAGGATTACAAAGAATAATAATTTATGTATAACGTAGGACATACCTACAAACTGTATTATGCTATAGTAAAATTGAATAAATCTATCACAGAGTTGGTACTAATAAAAATAGAATAATATTAAATATATATGCATAAGTGGTATTCAGATATCAACGGTGTAAAGCTCATCGAAGATCTTCGATCTTGGGTACCTATATAATTTTGTTCTTGATAAAGTTTGGACTCGAGGCTAATTAATTGTTCTATTTGAAGAAAAATGTATTACGATATCAAATTAATATCCAAAATGATTCAATAAGTATATTATGTCAGGCTGCTGTAGGTAAGTCAACTTTTAAGGTCCATTTTTAGTGATTTTTAACACAATATTAAAGCCAAAAAACTTAAATGTCAATCTAGAGTATTATTTAATAGTAAATGCAATACACGTTTTTCTTGCACAAATAAATAATAATTTAATTTAAATATTTTTTTTTTATTCAATTAATGTAGATAACTTACCATAATCAAAATTATTGGAATTTAATTTTCTTTTTTGCTATTCATCACGTATCAACAACTAACGTTATTAGCTTAAAAAAAATACTTCAAAGTATAAGATATTTATGTAACAACATTTAAAGCACAATATAAAGAGTTAAAAAAAAAATTAAGTTGTACTTCGTCATTTTAATAGATTTTAGATTTTTCAGATTTAGGTTGTTTTCACTATTTTATTCTTAAAAGAATATGATGTTTGTTTACATAAATAACATGTTACAGTATTGTCAGAGAGAAATAGGTGCTTTTAATGGAACTACATTAATATTGAACCCTAAACATTGTTACTAGTAATCGCCCCGTACATACAGTTATCGCGTGATGCTACCTATAAGATCGAATTGGTTATTATAGCAAATCCTACTTGCATAAATGTGATTGGTGCGAGTATTTTAAGGTTCATGCCCTTTAATTTATATCATCCGGGATTATCAGATGAACATTGAATATTATTATTCTTTTAGCTAGGTTGATAAAGGTAATGAAAATGTATTTCTGTATTACTTATTAATAACATATCAAGCTATATTCTTGATAGCTGTTAGTTTGATCAACAATAATAGTTAACAGTAGCCAGTAGGTAAAGGTGAAAAGTATAATATTATGCAGAATCTGTTATTGGAAAATTAATATTGTCTGTGTTGAAATTTAAGATTCAGAAGATTTGTGATTTTTATATTTATATATATAATGTAATAATTAATAAATCGAGTTTATAGTTATGTTAATACTGTAATCCCTATTCCTATTTCCCTTCCCTATCCCAAATTTAATACCACTATCCCTACCATTCTAACATATGAATGCGAAAGTTTGTCTGTCGCTTTCATGCCTAAGCCGCTGAACCAATTTTGATAAAATTTGATACAGAAATAGATTAAATCTTAGAGAAGTACATGTAAGCTACCTTTTGTCACTAATAAAGGTAAATTAGAGGAGCTCAAAACCAGGGCTTACAAACGTTATAATAACGTTATGACTATAGCTTTATTTTGGACAAACAACGATTGAAGTTTGTAAATGTAATTATAACGGAAAACGATAATTAAAAATAATTAAATACCACAAAACAAAACATAATGATTAACAAAATATATTATATATCATTAAACGAAAAATAACACAAAATGTAATTTATTGAATGTCATTGACCGGAAAATAACGCAGAACGAATTTTAAAATCTATTTATTTAAAAAGTCTACTGGTTTCGTTGAAACATTTATTTCATGCAAACAATCTAAGAATTGATTATATTATAATAACTACCCACATTAGTTATTATTTTTAACTTTAATATGTATTAACACTATTTTAAATAGATAACGATAAACGTAAAACTTGTACAGAGTTTTAGTTCTAAATAACGATAACCTCAAAACTTGGATAACGTTTTAATATTCTGTATAACGATAAACGCAAATCTTGGATAACGTTTTAATTCTGAATAACGATAAATGCAAAAGTTTAATAATGTTTTAATTGTAAATAACATAAAATGGATTTTTTTTTTCAAATGAAAGCCCTGGCTCAAACAATGAATTTGAGATTCACTGTGGTAATTGAAACTTTTTATTTATTTATAAATGGTTTACATTGGTTGCAAATTATAATAGTAATAGGTAGTAAAAATTAGTATTTTGGTTTATTGTTTAATGTTTGCCATTGGTTAATCAGGTACATCAGGTACACGTACAAACATGCATAAAGTTAATTTTCACACATTTGCCTATCAAGGTGTCAATTGGCTGAGTTGCACTTACAGTCACTCATTGGCGTGTCCTCAATCCACCTGTGGTGATTGCCCACTTGATATTCGGTCACACATTGTCCCTTCGGCGCAACTAGGGAAGGCTTGGGTAGGCTTAGACAACCCAGTTTTGTCTGTAGCCCACCCAGTTTTTGAACATAATGTAATTCCTGAATTCGATATATAATTAATTTTTCTAACAAAATACTCGTCTATTAATCTATTTTTGAACGAACTATTTTTCTGTTTAAAGGTAAGTCTAAATAAAAGTTTTATCAAAAAATCTATAAACGCTTAATTATTTTTCGAAAATTTCATTTTTTAATAAAAAATATTAAAGATTAAGTATTTTTTTGACAATTATATTTTCTAATGAACCATATTTGTTTTGAAATTTGTTTCAGTAATTTTATTTTTACTAATGAATTACGGTTTATACACAATAATTTTCCGGTTTTATAATTTGATTTTAATATATTTTATGTAACACTTTTCGATAATTTAATATTATAATCAATTAAAATAATATTATACTTAACATTTAATATTATCTCATTTAAAAATGTTCTATTACAATAATTGTATTACTTTATATTTTCTAAATAAACATTTTTGTAACATAATTATTTTTCAAAAGGTGTATATTTCAACACCCTCCAGCAATCAATAATTTAGTTTATTTTATTTATTTTTGACAGTTTTATTTGGTACATTGACCTTAAATTGTAATTTAAATAATTGTCCTTTCCGTCCACCTGGCACCTGTACAGAATACTTGTCTATTTTTTGTGATCACACATTTTTTGTCTGAAGTCGATTTTAGTCCTTTATCTAATGCAGTACCTACCATGTAAGAATAAATTATATTTTAGATCTGACACATGTAATACGTTACCTAGCTAGGTAATTTCATTAGCAATTACATGTTAATATATTTTAATTATATTTTCCTGTAGGCGATGTCAATGTGTCATACACATAAGATCAGTCACCAATTGTCACGTGTTGTGTATTTCCTAACGACTAATAAGTAATAAGTAATAACTTATTAGAAAACAATTCTAATTTTTCACACAAGAGTCTATAACCTACATACCGGTATACTACTATAGTATTACTTATTGTTGATTCAATTGTTATTATAAATGCGTTTTCATGAGTCATGACATTGTATTTACTAAAAGTAAATTATGTAGTAAATTCTTTTTTATCTTTATTAAACTGCCGTATTTTTATCTAGATTTAAATTGAAATTTAACTGGAGATTAGCTCTATTTTTTCTGATCACCAACTTCATCTTTAATCTATTGTATTCTTGATTATTCAATCAAACACCGACTTGTTAAATTATTTACCGTTTTCCTTCCCTGTAGGGTACATCTTTCAATAGTGTTGAAAATAGTAGCTTGGGATTTTTTTGGAAATTGGATGTTAACAGCTGTTTTCAGTGATGTTTCTGTTAGTTTTGGATTGTTTATATGGGATTGTGTTGAATTTTGTATTAGCCTCAGGTCAGCATTGCCCTTGTTGAGGGCGGATGAGGATGTTTTGGTGTGTTATTACTTATTATGACTAAAATAGGAACAACATTACAAAAATATACCGTCTTAACTTGGTTGTGCGACGTTATACTGCTATATATGGTACCTATAGAAAGTTATAAAAATACGATAAACGATAATCTGGAATAAACCACATATTAGTTTGCTGTCACACTCAGTACACGAAACGTACATCTGTTTAATTAATTATTATATGTATGCATATTTAATGTATGTTATCATTATTAAAGTATATTAGCGATCGTCTGTCAAAAATTTAGTTTAAAAAATAATACATATAATTCAGGTTTCCTGAAAAAAAAATAAAACTTATGACAACCGTTATTGATAGTTTCCGTAAAGTATTAAAGCTAATGAATAATTAATTTTTAAATGTACCTTTTTATCAGTTTTGTGTGATTGATTTATTCAGATTTTACTAGCATAGTTTCATGTATGTACTTTGTACATCCTATATGTTTTTAAAATTAAATCTCAACAAAATCATAAAAATTCAGCTTTAACTAAGCTTTATGATTAGAATATAATGCAGTATGTAGTTAACCCCTAACGGTTACTAGTGATTAGTGAAACATTCAAAGATAGTTTTACCGAGAAATCACAGCATAGTGAAAATATGGGGGGGGGGGGCTTCTGTGGAAATTAAGCTTTGATGAAATACAGTATTCTTGCAATATATTACATTTTGTTTACCATGTTCAAAATGTATGAAAATTGTTTAATAACATTACCAATTAACACTGCTTTATATTATTAAAATATATGAACAATTATTGTCCACAGTGCAAAGATTGAAAACAATGACTAAGTCAACAATTATTTTGTAAGAGTATAGGCCGTATAGTTAAGGATATGTTTAGGGATATTTAAAAAATATACAAATAAATAGTAATGATATATGTGATTATAATTTGTAATCTTATATGATTTTGCAACCCCTCACGTCTGTTTTTTGTTAAAAAGTATTTAGGCCACCATAAATTGAATTCCCTATTTGAGCCTATGACTTCTGATAAATCTAGGTTTCACTAATGCTAAGTTGTACCTACTAATAATGATTAAAGTTGATAACATATAATTTTTTGGAATTGTTAAAGCTGGGGGTAACATAGTTTAATTGGAAGGCTAATATGAAAAATTAGTATTTTTTTCAATAATTACATACGTTTTGTAATTATTATTGTTTTATGTATAAGATAGTTGTACCTATATTTAGTATGATAATTTCTATAGCTATGGTTTGTATTGATATTTTAATGATTTTGGACCATACTAGAGTAGTGTTACACTCAAATATATATTACTTTTTAACTTTCGATAAAAAGATTTTAGTTGTTGGACGGAAGATTTCCTTGAAAAATCCTTGTTGCACCACTGTTTAATGTTGTTTATCAGCGCCGCCAAGTCCACTCAATATCAATTAGTTTTAATCCTTTTCCAATGATTTTTTTTAAATAAGTTCTCTAGTGACTCATTTATTTTTTGTGATGTCTTTAACTTTTCTGAAACCTTGTGGTCAAACAACATTTATGGCTTAACATTTCGTCTCTACTATTCGGTCTTATTGTATCCCTGAGACCATCACATTTCATGGTTTTTCATAAAAATTCTTAAACTCATATGGCTCCATTCTCAATTTAGTTTTCTAAAATATTGCCTTCATCTATGTTTGTTCCCTATCTGATTCGCCTGTTTCTGTTGATATTAACAACTCTCCCCTAACCCTTTTCTATTTCATACAATCTAATATTGATTTTATAGCTTAAATGGTTAGATCTCAAAACACTATAACAATTAACCTCTTTTAAATGATTTCAACATTTAAATCCAATAATGTTGATTATTCTGTGTATGTCTTTATTAATGCGATTACGCTTCTATTATTATTTATTTTCCTCAGTTTTCTAAAGAATTTATTGACTTCGGAAGCAATGAATTCACATAAATTATATTTTTTTCTTTGTAGTGCCATTTACATACCTACATTATACAACCTTATCAGTCTAGTAGATCTATCAGCCATTATGTTATTTTAGGAGAATACCTATTTTACTTATATAACATAATCTTCTTTGGCTTTTTTTCTCAAGTTTTTTGATGCTGGTATTGACCCTTCCTTGTAAAATATAGTTTATTTCGATATATTTTAAAGTCTGGTAACTCATCAAAATTCGAAAATGATTGTAAATTAGCCAATCTCTCCCACATTGCTAAATTATTTAAGCTTTATTCTCCGTTTGATATAAGTCCATTGGCGCAAATAGGGGGGAGGGGCTTGGGGGGACTTAGTCCCCCCAGATTTCGGTCAAGTCCCCCCAGTTCAAAATCTATTAATTAGTACTAATTATTATATTCTGTAGTACTAAACATGTATATATTTTAAAAACTTAACCAAATTACAAAATACAATTATTGAAAAAAAATTATTATTATGCTAGTTTTTTTTTAAAATCATTATAAAAAATACTATAACATATCTTAGTCCGTGCCTCGTGGTCAAACTGATAATTGATAACCGATAAGTAATTTATAGGTGATAAACTATGAGGGCTGTGTCACGATCACGGCTATAGTATCTATAGCCAAAGAATAATGCCGTGGTTGCTGTTGACCTCCACAATCGACGGTTTACGCGCCAATTTTTGAACGGAGCATTTTGTTATCATTAATAAATAATAATTATTATTTGTTACCACGGTCCACGGACTAAGATATATGTTTATTACTTACTTGTTAGGTTATATTTTAATATTTATTGGAATAAGGGATTTATCTAATAATATAAATACAGAAGATATTTTAAATGTATTTGCCGAAAAAGAACGGAGAATTTTGTTAAACCAAATATATTCTAAAAATGTAATACTTTGTATTTTTATATATCCGTAACGATAGTTGCTCGGTGGGTGGGGGATTTTATGGAGAGAGCGTTTCCCTCCAACATTTGTTTTACTTATATTAAGACCTTTGTGGAGGGGGGCTTGAGTCCCCCCAAAAAATTTAGTCAATTTGCGCCTATAACCTTCTGATAATAAGATTGTATCCGAAAAGCAAAATGATTTTTGAGTTTTCGACACAAGCGTTCAATATATAGATACCTATACCTACTTATAACCTAACTTTTTATACTTCCAATCTATAAATATAAAAATGGAGCGTGAAAAGGTCGTTATACCTACCTCATCAATCGAGAACGGCTTGTCCGATTTGGCTCAAATTTTTTTTAAGATTGCCAAGAGAAGGTTTTTAAGATAGACAATTTTAGGAAAATAAACTGGAAAAGTAGGAAATTTGGATGTAAAAAATACAAAAGTGGCCCAAAAGTGTAGTATATATTGGTTGGTGGTTGCTATTGGCTAATCGGGCATGTTTGTTGATTTGTATCATTATTTTTGTCAATATATAATATATATATAAATGAATGTTTGTGTGTATATTAGACCTTTGGGAAGAAGACAGGCTAATTTAAAAATGGTTAAATTTGGTTTTTTTTTTATTCATCTGATTAATTAGTACGGTTAGGTTAGGTTAGGATTTTGTATTAATTGGTTATATAATCCATAATAGGTTTAATACGACAAACTTGGTATAACTTTGATACTTTAGAGTTACACTTACGTACAGACAGCACGGGGTCCGCGATCTACCGCAGATAGATTGCCTACCTGATAATATACTGCTGCAAATCAGAATTTTTATTCCGGGCAACGGGAAAGTTAAGATACATTTTGAACACCATACAATATTGCATAACATATAACATTAAATAACGAATTGAACAAAGTTTGAGTCATATAGAGTTGGTACATTTAACGAGCAACGAAGTGCCGGGATCAGCTAGTATTCTACAATATATTTTTACTTCAACTACTTTAAAAATGACTTCCAATTTATTCTGTTGACCTCTCCCAAGTATTGCAACAAGATCTAACCTTTATTTATCTACCAAAAACCACCCTTAAGGTTGAAGATCGAAGCATTTATTTAATTTTAATTCTTATAAAGGTGACGTCTAAGAAAAAACAAATAATAGAATAGATATTGTAATACTAATACATTCGATATGATCGACATTATAGTGCTGTAACGTTTTTTAATATTTGTGAGCGAGACGGTCGAACAACCATCAAGTAAAATATCAAAATTATATGTAAATGGTTGATAAGTGATAAGTGATAACCTATAGGAGAGTGGAGAGTCGAATAAAGTAGTGACATTATTACAATGAATACATTATACATATATAGGTTTAAAAATTAAAAATTATATATATTTGACTTGTCGTCTCCTATAAGAACATCAGCTATTTTAAGGCATGTCCGCGGCTTGTCCATAAACTCAAAAAAATAAATAAAAATAAAATGAATAATTGAACTCCGGCTTTTTTTTTATCTGTAATGACATTTTTTTTATTCGTACTCGTTTGTAGTTCCACCATTGACTGTTCAAATCCTACCGATCGCAGAAAATGGCCACTTTAGTGGTATTGACAACGATTTACAGCCACCTCCTTTCACACAGTCTTCGGCGAAAATGACACCATTACCGTTACCCGAAGACGATGATCGTTTGTCTGTGCACAGCAGTAAGATTCAAGAACAACGTCAGCTGCAACCATTAACGGCTGGGAGGAAATACGAGTTACCGTGTCGGGCTTACGGGTCACGACCGCCGGCAAAGCTAACGTGGTGGATGGATGGTCGGCGATTAGACACTACACGTGAGACGGTATGAAGAAGTATTTATTATTGAAATTTACTTAAATTTTTACCTGAAAGATGTTGAATGTTAATAGTAAACAAAACAAAATTCATGAAAAAGTAAAAATTTTTATGATCCATCAAATAAGCACACAAATTTATAAATTCATAATTCGTTGTTTAATTTAAGTACTATGAACGTTCTTAACATCAAAATATAATATTATATACTAAAGGTACATGATGTTATTACATAAAATGCATAATAATCATATATTATTATATTAGCATATAATTCATAAAAAAAAAATAAAAAATAATATATACATTATAAATACAATTTGGCATGGCTGATAATTGATATTAAACTCAACTTTATATGATATGATTAATATTTTTAAATATTTAAAATTAAAAAAATTGTCTACAAAATATTATTATTTATTACAACATTTTTTTTTTAAATAATAGCGAAGTGTCCACTTTTAATAACAATTTTTATAAGTAAGTACTTAGTTTTTTGGGGAAATGATAGCTCAGAATTTTTTTTAGCATACAATTTGATTAAAAATTGCTACTTATATTCCTTGAGTGATGCATATACTTGATTTTTCAAAATAGCAGATAACACTTTTTTATATCATATATTTTTCATTCTATTTATAGTAACTAATTTAAGGTTTGTTGTTAAGTTAAGTTTTTATTACTTAAAATATATTTTAATTACATTATTTTTAATATCACAAAGTGTATTGGTCGATATTGTTTTATGTACATTTCAAATTAGTTTTTTGGTAACATTTTATAATTTCCCGATGATTTTCATAAAAATAATTTTAGTATATATTTTAATACGTTTTATTTTTTAACTCAATATTTTAAACATTTTTAATATTTTAACCTAACTTTATACTTTAACGAACATAATAAAAAAAAGCTAGAATTATGATTAAATTTATTAAATTTAAGAAAATATTATTAATTTAGATATTCACAGAGCGATGACTTTAGGTAATGATTTTACAAATAATGTGTCTGACATCACCTTTTGGGACAATGGAAATGCTTTGATATTGACAAAAATGTATTCAACCAACTGTAGTACTAATGCCTATAATATTAAAATAATCTGGGTACTTAAATCGCGCAATAATATCATAAAATATCCTTACTTAGTAATAATTGACCGTCTTCGCTCAGAATCGTTTTTCGTATAAAATGAATTTAAATCATTGATTTCAAATTTTAGCACATCCATTACAATGGATTTCTAGACATCTAATGAACAGCAGAGCGTTCCCTACTTACCTGCTTTTTAGATTTGATTTAATAAAAAAAAAAGTTAAGACATTCAATCTTAAAACTTGAATGCGGGGTTTCCCGTATTCCATATTCTCCTGATTGAAATACAATTATAAAATCAATTTCACTAGTTGTTTTTAATGATTAGGAAGTACCTACTACCTACATACAATTTGAAGAAAAAAAATGTCATGTAAATTCTATATAATATGAAATATAATTATGTGGTTAGACTTGAAATCACCTGTCAAACGCAATGGCATGATTTTTCATTGTACCCACTGGCCATTTTTCTGGATTTAAGCACGGGTTTTCAGTTTTATACCTATTATTGAATTAAATTAAATTTTCTATATAACCTTGCATCTTTATAAGCCATCTCAAAAAGTACCATATAAAGGTACATAATATTCAGCAAGCAGAAAACGCATTACAAAATATTAGTACTAAGCGGTTTTGATATTTTGATATATTATACTTTAATGATTATTTCCATCTTTAATGCAGCCATACCTAAGTTTTAATTCAAATTCTTATATTATTAAATAATGATGTATATATACCTACTCACCGTGTTCTTTGAATAATAAATGTTAGTCTATATTCATGAATGATGAGGAAATTGACTTTTAAGTTTATAGTGAATAAATCATTATATAAGAAACATTGTGACCCAAGTTTTTTCTTAAAAATTCGATGATAATACAGTAAAGTTTGGAATTGTTAAATTATATTTAATGATATTGGTTAACAAAGTTAAACCTTTGATCAATGATTTGGCTCGATTAATAAATAACCCTCTATATAATTAAAAAAATCCCGATTATTTATGATTGACCATTATAGTCATACCATATTTTTAAATACCTTAATTATTACATATTAGTATATTATAATATATAATTGCAAGAATCACATAATAATACATTAATAATTTAAGTCCAAATTAACTTAACCTATAATTTTTAATGACTTATAATACCTCACTCAAATCTACTTAAAATGGATGAAGCGTATACTATTATATGGCTGAAATTTCTTATTTAAAAAGTCTACCTGATTTCCTGACAACTGATTTTAAAATACAAAAAAAGTTTCAAAACCTGGTTTATTATTATCCTGGTTACTTAGAAATTGTTGATTACGAGTTTGATCCCATACCTTCATCTCGAAAACATGTAAACCCGTTTTTATTCCTCGCTAAAAGGTTTTTCAGAAACTTTGTTCTACAGTTTGACACAACAAAATTAATTTAAGCTTAATATATTTTGCACCATATAATCAGTAGAATAAAAATATTACTTTTTTAACTACTTGTAGGTGTCTTCTGATTATTTAATTTAAATGTCTTATTTTGTTTCATTCGTTTTAATAGAAAAAAAATGGCTCAAACAAAAAAGTGAACACTTTGTTCTTAATTATTTCACATAAATACACAATATGTATAATTAATGAAATGAATAATAAACATTACAAGGCGATAGTTAGAACATAATTTTGACAATATTAAGTTATGACTTATGTGTGTATAATAATAGTCATTTATTTTATGTGGTTTGTTTTTTAATTTACTTTCCTCTCCCTTCTCATATAATTTTACTTCCACAACTAAAGTTTGGTATCGTAGTGTTGCTTCATTGTTTGAAACTTTAAACTTTAAATTTGGTTGCCCTAAACCTTTTCACTCATTATTCGTGACATATTTTTCTTTGCTGGGCTATCTCGTTTATCGCTTTTGTTACATATAAACCATTTTTTTTTTTATATTTTGTATTAACTTTTAAAGTTTCAACTTTTATTATTTTTCATTGGTTTACAGTGTGGTGTGTAAAAATATAGAAATAAAAACGGAGATTTTTCAACAAAGCTATAGGTACATATAGCCGTTTCCATTTTTTTTTTTTTTTTTTATTAAATTATGCGCAATATAATATTAAATTGAGTCAAGTAAACGACTCCGCTACAGGAGGCGTAAGCGTAGTCGACTTAAAGTAGACTTTGTTTATTTATTCAAACTTTCTTTTATTATTAAATTTTACACACACAAAACACACATACACATATAACATATTATATAATAAAATACTTTGTAGCTGCAAGGTACACTACGACGAACGATCCATTATAATAATAACACTAACAACTGTAGTAATAACAGAATTTTTACTACAGCTACATTATTGCAATAGAAACATGTTTTCATTAATTTTTTTCAAAAAATTGATAGTTTTGATGGGTGAGATTTTAAAGGTTATATTTCATCTGATATTAGCTGGTATTATAGTAATATTTATTTATCAATCGTAATTGTAGGTACCTACATCACATAATAATTCTTAATCTGATACATTTTATACTCTAATATATATATTATACTTGATATATCTACCTAGTATTATAGTAACATTATTGTAATAAGAATTAAGAACATAATTAGGTACCTAACACATATTCTTATTTATTCATTTATTTTTATTTACTGATCTTAAGCATTGGCAACTATCGTGGCCATTAGCATTTTGTAGGGTGGTTAAGGTCAATTGATGAACATGTGTATGTGGGGCGAGCCGGTGAGGATTCATCACTAAAAAAACCCGTTGGTCACGCATCTGGAAACTAGAGACTTCGGCCGATACGTAACCTCAGAATTCGTTAGTAACTGATGCCAACCACCCAGCCACACTTGGCCCATTCGTATATTTAGTATTAGTTTATCGATATAATTTTCATAATATAAATTAACACGAATACTCCAACATAGTTTAAACTAATTATTTTTGTAACGTAGCTAAACACTAAAACACTGGTCAAAAATATTCCAGTCCCTCACAAATAGACAAATATACATATTCGATTAGACATAAAAAAAATAGTAATACGGTGTACTCTTGGTAATTCGAAACTCACGGTAGGGGGGGGGAATTCAACTTACTAAAATTTTCGAGTTATCAAAATCTTAATGTATTATTGTTATTTGAATGGCAATTTTATTTTCTCGAGATCTCGAGAACTTCGAGTTATCAATGTTCGAGTTACCGAGAGACCACTGTAATAGTAAAAAAAAATAAAAACAATAATTAATTAATTTTAAACACAATTTCAAAAAAATTGATAAATATATTATCAGCTTTAATACAAAATGTTTAGTAATTAATAAACAATAATAGGTATGATACAATACGATACCATTGTCTATTAGTTATATTATGCACATATCGCATTTTTCTTATAATATATTATATAGGTAGTGTGAACTAGAAAGTTTTACGTAAAATCCCCCAAAATATTTCAGTTAATTAATATTATGTTTATTGTATACTATGACATATCGTATCCACACACTTCTTTTTTGTTTTGTTTTGTTTTTTTTTTGGTTCATTAAAAAATTATAATTGTATGCATACAATATAATGCAGGCGTATATAAGTTTATGTATTCATAGATGTAATGAAATATTTTACTCATTTAAATATCAAGGAAGCCTTGTCTTAATTTTATCCTAATTATTATTATTTTCGGGTAGGATATTTTGAATTTATAGATAACTATTTTAGCTTAAAATGATGATAAGATCTAAATAATAATGCTTGTGTAACCTTATATGGCTATAACTATATTAAAGCGTATATTAACAGACTTCAACCGACGGAAACTCAACGACAAGCGTATTGACGTTCGTACCTGTTAAACCGACGATCAAATCACGTTACCAAGAACCCGTAGAAGCTGACGAGCACAGAACGTCTGACTATGACGGCAGGTTAACTTGTAGGGCCGAAAACCCACAGCACCAACTGTCGACGTCCCAGCGAAAGCACACAATAGCGGCCGGTAGTGATTCGTCTGATGATGCCGGAACGCCTTTCATACAAAGCACATGGTTGTTACGGATACAATGTGAGTATAATGGTAGAATTGTATATATACGACTTATTATTTTATTCATACTCGCAAATAGCTACATATGTTTCTCGATACATACTACACCTGTGCAAATATATGTACAGTTCTATAAATTATTTATTATTTGGACTAAAGTTTGGAACTAACCATGAAACCGTATTGGGTAAGGTAAGGAAAGGAGGAAGGAAACCATTTGTTTTACTATTTTTCTTGTTTAAAGTTTTTTTTATCGTAAAAAATTCCGAATCAATTTTTTTAAATTTGAAATAAAATAGAAATATATGTATTTCGAGTTGGTTTAACTTATATAAAATTCTAGAAGAAAACTTCAATAACAACTCCATGACTATTTAATATACTATAGCAAAATGTTCTGCAGTTTTGTTATACCTACCTAGTAGTAGTAATTAATACCTAACCATAGAATATTAAAACACTATTTACTACTTATTTTTTACACTTGTTGAACGATTAATATAAAATGTTATTTTGTGAAAAAGTACAGTCAAAAATCATTTTATTTCTTAACTAAACAAAACAGTTTAAGTTGTGATATAAAATGTTTAATTCTTAAGATAGTTAAATTTGATCTGTTAGAGTTATAAGTCTACTTATTATTATTCAGTACTTCACAATATTCAAACTGTAAGTTAACATGAAATTAATTCATTTTTAGTCTCAAGAAGTTAGCCTAAACGATTTTTATGAATAAATTAAATGTATTAAATATAATTTAGATATTTAAACTAAATTTATTGAAATTAAACTAAATAAATATCTTTATAATATAATATTACATTTGAAATTTCTAAATGTAAAATATCATTTTTACACTCTGCAATAAAATACAATGACACATAAATCTATTAGGTACTTCAATATTTTACTCTACGCAGATTTATAGTAGAAAATAAGTATTATTTTTTAAACAACTAATACACTAATGCTCAACAGCTTAGTGTAATTTATAAGGTCGTAAGTAGAAAGGTACCTACTATAGCAGTTACTCAATTCATTATTTCTATAGAAGCATTTAGTTGGGTCCAGATCATGAAATGGCAAAAAAAGAACCAATCTCATGAAATGGGAAATTCCAAGTTTAGTGTGTAAATATTTATATGAACATTATGTAAGTATTAAATAATTCAAACTTACTTAAGACAAATACATCATTCAGTTTGTATTGTACCGAGGTTGTACAGTAACTACCTATATGGTGTAAACGTAAAAACGTCTAATCGGTAACATATATACCATGTCGACGTCTCTAGCTTCCTTATACCTAGTTAAAACAGTAATTTGTTGAGATGCAAGCGATCAATAAATTTACCAAGTAAATTTGACCGACGTTTTATGTTTTATAAGTTATAGAAACTTTTAACGTTCTAGAAATGTAAAACAAAATAAATTGTAATAATATATAATATATAAATGGTGGAAAAACTGTACTTATATTATTATTAATTTTGAATAAAGTTAAGGCACAAGGCGTTATACATTAATTTGTATAAAATTATATTTAATTGACAATTATTATTGTGGTATAACATATTACATTTTAGAAATGAATAAATTAAATGTATAATTAAATTTCAAGATTAACTGATTATGATGGAAAATTGAGTTAATAACATTTATCAATTTACAACATTTATTGCATTTTTACATTACAAAAATATTATCTTTTGTTCTTTTCCAGTTTACAATATTATTAAGTATGTTCTGGAGATTTATCGCATAATTGATGATAATTGGGTGTTTCACTATCCGGAGACCGACTAGGATTTCTGTAATTTGCATTTGAATGTCATGTCAACTTGTTTTTTTTCCAAAAACTTCTACACAGACACGTATTCTCTCAAGTGACAATTCAACAAATTAAAATAGAATGGATGGTAATTCAATTACGAAACAGTTAGCAAACAGTTGAACTTGTAGTTTAACTGTTCGCTTAAAATACGTACTTGATTAAATATAATATTATAATGCTGTATGCCTGTATGTTTCTTCTGCTTTTCTTATATTACTAAACAGCACGTTAAAGAGATTTATATTATACGGCCGTTGATAAAAGGGATACACAAAATACGCCCACAACATTTCATAAAAACAATTTAGCTACGATCTTGAATATAACTCATATTATAATAGATGAACATTTTTTAAAAAATGTGTGAAATCGGGATTTTTCAAATTAATTTAACTAATTAATAGTATTATCGTATAAATGTATTATACCCATATGAAAGCAAAATATATATTTGTAACTACATATATTTAAATTAAATTGGAAAATTGAAATTTGTATCATCTATGCAAATAGATATTCAATAAAGAGATGACTAGATGAGGCAGATAAATAAAAACATACTTTGAATAATAACATTTTTGGTTGTAAATATTATATGTTTTTATTACTATTTTATTCGAGTTTAGATATTGTTTGTTGCTGTAACAATTCTTACTTATATATTACTGAAATGGTAAGAAAATATTATTTTCTGATAGGTAGTTGTTTTTTTGTTCAAAATGGTTGTAATATACCTTATCATATTACGGTTTAAAATTGAATACAATTGTTAATAATAAAATCCTGGTGATATTATATTGATAAACATAATATAATATTATATTATATTGTATAACAGCATATTATTTTGATTAATAAAAGAGCAGGTATTTTTCTTTTATAATCACAAATGATTTGGTTAGATATTAGATCGATTTGTTATTTACTGATATTATTCATTAAAGACTTAATGAATAGGTTATTCAATGAAATACCTATGTTCATACAATTTATTTTTGAATCAAAATTATACGTAATTACCAATTGTTGTGTCTGTGGGTGTTTTTATTCGTCTATTTTATTGCAATTAACGACTTTACTCAATTTATAATATTAAAATAATTAATTTGTATAGGTAGGTTCGCAATACATAATTAATTGTAATTCGAAATAGGATAGATAGTACATTAGTACTGGATATTTTATACATCATATTTTGTACAGGTACTAGTAAAATAATTTTCTACAATTATTTTATTATTAGAATACTCAATTCTAAAATTATAATGTGCTTATTACTATGAGTATATTACACGAATATTTTAATGACATACTTAGTTTGAAAGGTCGGATATTAAATGCCTTAATTATAATAAACTCATAACATACTACATTTAATGGTGTGTTCTATATAATTTTAAAATATTTAAAATACTGGTGGTGTGAAAGTTGCGTCTAACCATGCAGTTCTGCTATATTTACAAATAAATAGCTATTAACATGTTAGTTGTTAAATAAATATTTAGTTTATTGTGAAATTATATGAATTCTATCCAAATCATTAAAGCTAAAATTGAAGTACGAAATAGACTTGTATAAAACAATAATACTTGCTATATGGTAGAATAATGCCGCAAACTTGTAAGTTTTGGAGGAACGGTATTCGGATTTTGTTTTAGTGTCTATAGACAGTTCTCAGTAAATTTTACCTACCAAGAAACTTATGTACGGTTATTTACGACATATCTAGTCTTTTCCTATAAATTATTACTTCAAACAGATCGTTAGAACTTAGAGATGCAATGGTAAAGGTATACTCGCAGTTTTTTTGATTATTTTAGAGATTATATTATTCTCACTTACTCTAATCACTTCTTTTTCTTAATGTTTGGATTGATTGTGCGTATTTTATTTTCTAAAAAAATGTTGTAACTTGAAATCTTGGTAATTAATGTAGATTATTTAACTACCCGAATGACAATATAAATTGTTCTCATTACGTAGTGCCAGTTTTACTTTTCGTTTTATTTAACTCAGTATTTGATTATTGTAATTATAATAATTAACTATAGATTTTTCTATGTACTTACAAATATATAATTTTAACTTTAATCATTCTTAAGTTATTTCAATATTTGCAAAAATACAAAATTAATAACATCAACATTAAAGAACCCGTAAAAAAGTGATTGTTTAATCGATTAATTAGAAAATTTATATTTAATTCAAATAATACATTTCACATAACAAACATCGCCATCAATTAAGTTTTGTGAATTTTAGAGTGAAGAGTAGGTAGGTTTTGATAATAATACTGATGTTTTCAACTACTCTAAACTAATTAAAAAAATAATTATTTCCAATCAATTTAATTAAGAGTCGTTTTTAGGTAGGTAGTCAAATAGTATATGTGGTAATATTTATATCAAAACTTTATATCAAATTATTTGGTAGGTAACGCAATTTGTTATATGGAATATTCAGATTCAGACTATTTAATATTAATATTTGGATTCTTTTGTCTGCAGATGCACTACAGTTTTGTTAAAAATATATACAGTTAATGGTAGGCACACGGTCAACCCAATAAAAAAGTATTCTATGCGTAGTATCTATACATATAAAAGAACTTGACCTGGCTGATTTATCATCACCTAACCGGAACCTCCGAAGCTATGAGTTTGAAATTTGGTCAGTAGTTTCGTATGCGAATACCCACTAAAAATTTTTTTCTGAAATTAGCATTTTAAAGAGGTGGTTCTACCCAAGGATTTTTAAATTCGAGGTGGAAATTAAAAATTGTTTTTGTTTATAAATGGTTGCCATTAGTTGTAGATTATATTATTATAATAGTATTAGTAGACATTAATATTAATTATTCGTATATAAATGGTTTATATTGGTTACTTGGGCAGATTAAGTAAAACCTGCATCAAATCGTGGTGTTTACTTGCCTTGATTAAAGAGACTATATATGTATTGCACTAGTGTTTGTAGCTTATATTCTCAAAAACTACTCGATTGGTTTTGATGAAAACCTTAGAGATGGATTTTAGAAATATCAGAAAAGTTTAAAGAATAGTTTAAACCAAGTTAAAATACATAGCAAGTGCTAAATCCAATCCGAAACTTGCGGAATTATTTCACAAAGCTAGGTACACTGACGTCAATTTGCCGGTGAACTGAGGACTAAGGTGTGTACACTAAAACTGAGATACCTATATTAAACCGAAATTTATATATACATGTGTATTATACTGAATTTGATATACTTTGTTCATTATTTCTTGGGCGATGTCTGGTCTTACTGCTATTTTTATGTTAGTTAATTGACCGCTTGTATATTGAACACTAATGTTTAATACCGGTAATACGGTAATATTTAAAAATTTAAAAATGTATAGTGAAACTAAACATGTATATTATGAGAATTTTTGAAACTATAATTAATATTTTGATAAAACGGTGATATGATAAATTGTGTGATTTAACTTAGGTATTCAATTTTAATTATTGCTAAAAGAAATATTAGAATTCCCAAAGTAAGCTTCAAAGCTTACAATTGTAAATTTATACAGTTCACAAATACTAATATCATAGATTTAAATGTCTTAAATCAAAACAAATAGAATAAGATAATTCTACCTTATTGATTTAACTAAAATTGTTATTTGTTTACTTATCAATTTGTATTTAAAATATAAAAGATTTTCGTTTTTTCATTAAATAGTAAATACCTTACAATATAATTGACGCACATTTTTCATGAATTATATAAGTAAATTAAATTTTATTTTCTTTGTTAAATAATCTAAAAATAAAAAGTAAAGTAAGATTTTTGGGACTTGGATTCTTTAATTTAAAATATAACATTATGTTCTCAAGAACTAGTGGTACAAGTAATCTAAAATACATGAAAATGTAACGTTTTTTTAAAAATGAAAATTAGGCATTTTAATTAAACATGAGAATTTAAATATAATGGGAAATATAAACATGAAAACAATATTCTGAAAACAATGTATAATATTGAACGCATACAGTAGACAAACTTTGCTTTTTTTGGGTTTATTACCATAGTCCATAACCATACAATATAAATCCAGTACCTATGCAAGTATAAATCAATATATATTACGGCGAAGGTAACGTATTTTTTAAACGTACGTTCCATCTATTCACCTTTTTAAAAAATGTTGTATTATAAAATACATACTATACGTTATAAGTTATCGTATGTATAAATATATACTTTACGTATACACTAGCTACTGTTGGTTGGCTTTACTACGTAAAACTGTCATTCTGTCATCCCGCAACGCTGCGCTGCTCGTCATTGTCGTTATGTCCGGACCATTTCTCGTTGAACTCTGTCGCCGTGCCAATTTCGTATAAAAGAAAAAGTGTGCCCTGCGTACATAAAAAATAAGTTAACTCACAATGTCTCGTCGTTTATTATGATAAAAACTATACGAGTCGGTGGCATAAATAGCAAGGGCATTTTTTATTGTATATATACGGGACGGGTAGGGGTCCCATCCGCGTCGTGGTCAATCGGTCGTGAAATTGCTCTGCCACCCCTCTCATCGTCTCGTTATACAAACGACACCCTGCCCGCCAAAAAGTTAAGTCACCCAGTTAATAAGTTACCGGAGTTGATACTATAGTAACTGCTGGGGATTGAAAAAAAATATATTATTGAACAGATCATAATATTATTATAAATTGCGTACGAAATTCCTTGGCAACGATATTACGACACATTATAATATGGTATGCATCGTATCTTTTGCAGGGTTTGGTGCTTTAAATATATTTATTAATTTCAAATAATGCATACCTGATATATATAATTTCCCAGATGTTCCTGAGACTCAAATCACATTGGGTACCAACTTACGAGCAGATGACATACGTGAGGGTACAGATGTGTATTTCGATTGTACTGTGGATGCGGTGCCACCTGCGTATAAAGTCCAATGGAAACGAGATGTACGTTATTAATTATTATATAATTTTAATTATTGGTATTTACATTTATTATTTAGGATTATACTTATGTTTTTTTTATCAATTTTAAATTAAATCCATTCGTAAAGCATAAAAAAATATAAAATAATAATATGATAATATGAAAACAATATTATTTCTATTGAAAATTACATTAAGTATGCAATATTGTTTACAAAATATGTTTAGGTATGTTTTTAAATATTCCCAATTATAATTTATCACAATCATAATCTTCATAAGTATTTTCAGCCAACGATAAATTATTAGTGTTTATTTTGGTTTTTGAATTCAAGCGTTATTTAAAATATTTTAGGGCATAGAACTACATCACAATGCTGGTGGAGGTGGTTCAATGTCTGGAAGCGGATCAACTACAACAATTATTATCAGTAATCAGTCATTGGTGTTACAAGGAGTCAGCCGCCGTGAGGCCGGTCATTATACATGTGGTGCTGAAAATGCTGAAGGTCCCGGGCCTCATAGCAAATCAATTCATCTCGATGTTCTCTGTAAGTTTACATATGTCAATGATAAATAATACATAAAGTGTGAGAACAATTATATTTTGACAAAATATATGAATTTATATTAGACGCTCCTACGTGTACACCAAGTAACAGTGCTGGAAAAGCTGTTCAACGAGTGGTTTATGGTGTGGCAAAGAAAGAAACCGTAACGATTGCTTGCCATGTACAAGCGAATCCTGCACCAACAGAATATCGTTGGTCGTTCAACAATACAATTTCTTCAATTGCTACTGGTGGTGGAGCTGGGTCTACCTCGACGGGATCCTTGATCAAACAACGGTTCAGTAGTATTGGAAATTTAGCCGGTTCTTCTTTGAACTCATCGAGAGTGTTAACTTATGCTCCAAGAACCGATTTTGACTATGGAACGGTTGAATGTTGGGCGCGAAACCGAGTGGGTATGCAAGCGCATCCCTGCGTCTATCACGTCATTGCTGCAGGTCAGTAAACGGAATTGCTTGTATATTATACTATATAATAATTATATTATGTTTATAAATAAATGTTTCAAGTAAGTACCTATCTATTAACTATTATATACATATGTTTTACAGGTCGACCAGATCGTGTAACTAATTGTACGGTAGTGAACTCTAGAGCTGCTATGAATCTAAATGGAACAAGAAGATTAAGGAGTTCCAAAAACTCAGGATCACACATTTTTATAAGATGCACCGAAGGATATGACGGTGGCTTACCTCAACGTTTATGGGCCGAAATCAGAGAGGATTCTAAAGTCCAACATTCAGACTTAGGTGGTGACGATTTAAGTGGAGATTTAGTACTTAATGTAACAGGTATTGATGAACAAGACCAACCAGGTTTCTCAGATTTAAATCCAGATGAAAATAAAAAATCAGAAAATGCTGCTTCTCCGCCGGTTAAAGTATTTGTAGCAAGAGGTTTGAAACTAGGAGCTGTATATAGAGTTGATGTGATGGCTAGCAATGCCAAAGGACGGTCAGAACCATTAACATTAATGGTATCAATACCAATGGGGATGATGGGAGTTGATTCTGATGAACAAAACCAGAACGGAATTTCAAATACAATGACCACAATAGACGGTCAAGATCCCGATCGAGCCCGGAATTTACTATTGGAACAACAACGAGAACAGGAACGTGGTAAGTAAAATTGTAATATTGATATACATTTAAAAAGAAAGCTGAATTTTAATATGCACCTCCACCTTGTACGAAAGAAATATAATATACAATATTAGATAAAATTGTGTTTGATAAACCATGTAAGCTAGTTTTTACAAAACGGTATATTTTAACAAGATTTCAATACTTTTACAAACTGCGGTAGTACAATATAAAGTATTGTATATTATACATATATATATGTATACACAATGGTATCAAATCTAATAAAAAAAGACTATTATTAAGTTTTTTTTAAGATGGTTAAAATAACAGTTATTTTAACCGTATTACATTTAAACTAAAAATCTTATGAAATAAAAATCGAAGTAATTTAGCGTAACAATTATGTGACAAGCAACTATTCGAAAATTTCATAAAAAGTTAAAACATTAAACAAATAATCAATTAAATTTAATGGCATTCCCTACCATTAATTACAAATTTTAAGCCTAATCAAAAAGTTTTCATTTATAGTGTGAATCGTACCTGCAGTGTCATTGAATATTTATACTTTAACAATTTTCCTTCATATAATATATTTACAAAGGCTGGTAGTAATTCCCTTGAGTAACTGCAGTCGATTTCGTCTCCCTACAAATGAGTACTCCCTCGCTTCAACCAAGTTTATAATAATATCTAGAGGGGCAATAAGCGCCTGTTACAGTATAGGTGATTATTACCTCTTGCGATTTTTATCCCCTTTACCTACCCTAGAGAATACATTTATAGGGGAAGGTTATAATTACATGCTGTAAATATGTCAAATTGTACTACAGAATTAATTAAAAATGCAATTACGCGTATAGTTATTAGTTGCATGAGTGTACAAAGTACATGTTAAAACATCACTCAGAGCAAGACAGAAATTCAAAAAGGTGTATTATTTATTTGTGTTTGATTTATATGTGCCTATATTATAAAATACATAGATATAGCATATTCTAACCTAACCTAACCTGTAAGTTACCTAGTAGTTACTTAATGTAATTTTATATTTCATATTATCATAAATCAATAAACCTAGTTAAAGTAAACAAAAAACATAAAAAAAAAAAATGTTTTCCTTATATCTATTTATTAATAAAACAATATAAATTAATGTAGAGTATATTCATCTATAAGGCACATCGTATTTTTTGTAGTTTTAGACCAATAAGCGGAAGATTAGTTTATGTACTTCCCGATATCCAATTATTATTTTAAAAATATGTAAGAACTCATCATCTCCTTTTCTAGGTTAGGTAGGAAACAGATTTTTGATTTTTGTATTCAATAAGGCTTAAAATATGTTGAAATTTTGAAAAATTATGAAAATATTTTTATTTTATACTCTTACATTCAGTTTTAAAACATCAATTATTTTTCTTACATAACCTAGTACAGGGGATATGATGAGTTCATACATATTTTTAAAATAATAATCGGACATCAGGAAGTACACAAACTAATCTTCCACTTATAGCTATTTTGAACCGATTTTAACGGTTTTTTTTACGATAACACGATAATGGCCCAGATAATGGATTACACGCACTGAGGTTCATTTACTACTCACACAATGACAAACATTTGCCAATAATATTTTTTCACAATTTCCTAAATTTTACTACAATTCATTATCAATAATTAAATAAAAACTGAACACATATTATTTAGATTTAAAGTTTAATTGACCAACCCTCTGTAAACAATTTTTCTTTGAGTACCTATAAACAGTTAATTTCAATACCAGAACACTCCATCCAACACTCAGAGGATTAATCTTGTTCAAAACAAATTTCTTAGCTTTGTATTTTATATCTTAGGAATCCCCCCTCCATGACTAACCTGTTATCCAGATTTTAAATCTAAGCTCCTTAGATTAAAAATAGGCGTAAGAGTTTTATTTAGGGATTATGATCGTTTAATACTCGACTTCTTCTAGAACCACTCAGTATCCGTGCACCTAATAACACCAGGCTATACAAGACATATTATTTTATTTGCGTTCAAGTCAGACCTACTTTGCGAGTATACACTACCGACAACTATACTAGCTTATCAGTTTGTCAGGATACTGACAAGGATGATTCAGAATGTTTATTTTTAGTTCGCAGATAACTCTTGTTTCTGTTTCGTTCCATTGTGTTTTTGTTTCTTTTTGTAATCATTAATAATATAAATATAGAGCTACTCTTCGTTTATTATGTAAAAACAAAAATAATAAATAATAGTATCTGCAGTGCAGATGAATTATATTATTATTATTATTACTAGGTATATGACTGTATATAATATATAAGAGTCACCTAAGTATATGGAGTATGTGTACCGGTATTGTTAATCGTTCATGTGGGGTGATTTGCAGATCGAAGGTTGCAAGAGAATGGTGGTGGCGTGGGAGATTTTCGGATGACGCGCGCCATGGCTATAGTGCTGCTCGTAGCCGGGTCATTGGTAGTGGTCGCTTGCGGAGCGGCCACATTTCTGCGGTACCGTCGAGACGACGACGACGACGACAACGATGACGACGACCAGGACAACGGCCGTGGACCGGAACGGACTGTGGTGGACGTAGGCACAGTGTGCATCGCAGGTGCAGGGAACAAGCCGGAAGGACCGGTGCACTGTCAGCCGGCCAATGCAGACGGTTGCGCGGTTCCGCCGAACGTCGAGATGCCGAACAACAACAACAACGTTGGTGTGAACTTCGGCAATGGAAACAACAACAGTGGCAAAAACATGACTCCGACCGACAACAGCAAGGAATATCACTGCGGTAACGTCGTTGGCGGACGGGTGGTTGGTGGCCTGCAGAGGATCTGCAGCAACACGATCGGCCGGGGTGGTGCAGTCCCGATCGGTGCCTCTTGCGCAGACGGCGGTGGATCGCAGCAAGACATCGTCTCAGGAACGCCAATCGCGCTAGTGCCACCTTCACGTGCGTCTCCGACGACTCTCTTGCGCGGCGCGTCGTCTATCAACAACAACGCGCAGCAATCGTCGTACGGCGCTACGTGCAAGCCATCATTACAGCAGAAAATGTCACTGTCGGCCACCGCCGCCATCGACCAACCGGTACAGGGCCGGATACCGCAGTCGTACCACAGCAGGAACCCCGACATCATACCGGCGCCGCTCATGTCGCCTGGCACCGTTTACAATAACTACAACAGCGGTAAGGATATCTATATCTATATCTTCAACGTTTCCAAGTACAGACACAGATACTTAATTTGAAAATAATCTATTAAAAACACATATTTGAATATTCGGTGAAAATAAGTACTAGAGTACAAACTCAGATAGGTATACTTAAAAAACAATTTATAGACACATTCTAATAATACTCTCAAATTGCTACTTTAAAATCGACTTTTTGGTGATATCGTAGATGGGAGTAAGAACTGCTGTTGGCATTGATTTTTCCCCTGTCCAGACCTTAAAATCGACCTATAAATCAACTGAACCAAAGTTTTTTTTAGTAATTTCATGTCTTATAATAATTGTATAAATAATTTAATAGTTTATACAGTATCATTTAGGTAACTACAATTCAATCATATGTTGCAGATAAGTTATTAAAATTTTTGGTTGGCTATAAATCATAGATAAATAAATAGATATGATCACAAAAAACCAGTTTTTGTCCTGTTTGAGCATCTCTCCACTATTCTACACACAAAACCATTGCTCGTAGTTCTCGCATTTCATTGGTCGGCAATGTCAATAGAATATTATAGAAGCGGAGAACTACGTGATAGACATGTCATGGGTGGAATGCATATCACAAAGTTTAAATCATACCTATTCATGGTACAAATCACATAAGACGAGTATAATACTATTGTTGACATCAATATGCATTACCGACTATGGTGTGACCGGAGTGGTCCATGAATACACTAATTATTTGTTTTAAAAATATACTATTATGTTTAATTTACCGTTCTAATTTACTATACACTTACGACTGTGATAATAATTTATATGACACTAGACCCGCTCTGTAAAATAATTTTTTAAATAGATAATAATTTCTGACTCACATTTACATCTAATTTTTTTTCATTTTACGTTCATGAATTATTATTTGATTTAAAATATAGATACTTTGAGAAAGTATTTCTCCAAGTTACTTTTTTCAAAAATATTTAAAATACATATTTGAGTACTTGAAAAGTATTTGAATACTTTTACTCGTGTATTTTACAAGTTGGCATCTATTTTAACTATGATCAATTGGCCGGGTTTTTTGAGTTTTTCTAATGGGTTCAACTAGTGGGAAAACGGTGATAGTGATGGTCAAGCGTCCTTGAGCACAACAAAAATCCCATCTTCGATCCTAGGTACATTTATAAATGTATGTTATCATATTATTATCGTCATGCAGTTATGCTATAATCGGTTATCGTGTATTAATAGTTGGAAGTTTACAGTCCACTGCACGTTCTTTGAAATAGATACCGAAAAATGAACCCATTTAGCCAAATAGCCTTCTTAAACGCCGCGTACGTGATCATAATTTATTATCGAAAAGTTTAAAGCAAAATACTTTTCATCATAATAATAATAGAATAATATGGTAATTATATAAGATAACCGAACATGACCTAATGGCAAATGTTGATTCCAATCACTGAACGAAAAAACGGATAATTTATTCGTGTCGAATACGTGCTTTGATTATCGTATACCCAGATACCTGAGTGGCTTGTCGTGTAATTTAAAGTTTTATTTTTTTTTTAATAAGTATATCAATTAGTAGATACTATTTGACATTTGTATACAAATTCAACTTTATTGATATTATTCCACAAATGAAAGTAAAATAATATACATTTTTACAAATGTTGAAGTATCTAACAAATAGTTATTTTTATTAATAAACATTTAAAGTTTGAAGAAATCGAGTAAAATGACAAGTTACACCACTCGAGTGTTGTAGTCGACTTCTTCGTTCGACAAAATAATAGAAAATAAAACAACCACCGTGGAAAAAATTATAAAAATTGAATTGTCTGTAAAAATGTGGTGTTCTAAATAGTATTTTTTTTCAAATTAATAAAAAATGTCTCTGAAGTGTTGTGAATTACCCTGTTCATAATATTTATACGATAAAGTATTAGGTATTAATTGTGAGTTTATCACTACTTATTAATATTTTTCTTATAATATAATATTATAATGCCAATATATTTACAACTGAACCGCGGTTTTCTACAGATCTTGGTGACCCAGCTGACTCCATGACTCTCATCATGGCTTCGTCCACGTCATCATCTCCAATACACAACCACCGTCAACAGCAGGTCCATCACCAGCACAACCGTTACAACAACCCGCCGGGACAATACCACCCGGGCGTCATGACTCTCCGTCGGCCCGTGGTTATCAACACACAATATTATGGCGGAGGCGGTGGCGGTGGTGGCAGCACTCTGCAGAGAAACAACCTACAACAACCCGACGTGAGTGCCAAAAATCAATATACAAAATACAATTAACTTAACAATACGCGTATACCTAATATTTTATCTGGTACATGTTGATCTGTTAGAAAATAATAAGTTGATTTCGAAGTAATTATATTATATAATTACTTCTAAAATACAGAAAAACCACTTATTCTCCCTCTAAATTAAACTACTACATTTCTCATTGATATATCGTCATAATTACCCGCATGAACGCTTACAAACTGTAATTTAGTTTATAGAAGCGGTTCCCAAACTAATGACACCGCATGGGTCACGGCTCATATGGAAATAAAACAAATAATATAATTGTTACCAAGTTGAACGAGCCTTCAATGAGTTGTCAATGAGAACTAGTGTTGTTTTTCTTATTTACGCTGCCCATAGTATTCACAGCAGCACAAGGAACAAAAAAGTGTAGCATTGGCTAAAAAGCTTGGGAACCGCTGGTGTAAAGATTGAAATATTAACACAATATGTTTACATCTATTTCGATAGTGAAATTAAAATAATAAAATTAAGTAGTAAGTACTTACAAAAACTCTGTCGGATTTGGGTGATCATAACGTTTTTAATTTATCACCAAATTGAGATAGTCCACTAAGCCATGCAATAATTATTAATAAGTCTTTATAAAAGAATAAATGGGTTTGAACTAATTCTGATTTCCATTTCTGATTTTAATCACACTTTACTGTATTGTGAGAAAGAAAGAAAATAATCATTAATCGTATTCGACATAAAATTATTGACAGTTTTAAAACGACTACACTTTATATAATATTATTTGAAACGTAAATACGTAATTATATAGAAAATGAAGTTGAATATTGAATACATCTATATCATAACAATTATAACTATTATAGTAACATAATATATGTAATACAGTAGTGATATATTTTCGTGAGAAAAACTTTTTTACTATACACCAGACTACCAGAGTGGCCTGTCTGGTTATATTCATACGATTTATAAGTTATAGCTGTGTAGGGTTACTATAGGAACAAAATTTCCTAAAAACCTTAAGACATGCATGCATTTAAGGGTTTCCTGAAATATAATCATGTATGCTAAAAAAAAAATATAAAAAAAATATATTTATGAAATTAATTTAAGTATTCCCGTAAAATACTAGATATATAATCGTTATTCTTGCACAACGAACTTTTTATTGCTTATTGTGGATTATGCACTATTAAATAACCATGTTATTGGGGTATAACAATGGTCCAGATTGACCAAAAAAAAAATAATAATAAAAATAATTAATATTCGTGTAGCGCGTTATATTGACATGTGCGGGAGCCCTTCGCTATAATATATTTTATTTTACACACAGTCACACACACTAATGATGATATACTTAGTACACATTTACAGGAGTACAGAACCTACACGCACGCACTTAGAAAATTCCCTATATAGAACTTACTTCTTATAAACGGTCGGTATCGAATCCCCTTGTGGCTTGTTGTCAAAACTATCAGTTTCTTGCCAACTGTTTCAACCAACATATAGGTATTTATCCGAAAACATTTCTAAAAACATATTTGAATTTGTCATAAAGTTTACTTGAAATCGACTTCCTTACATTTTTAACTTTATTTTTTTTCTGTTCAGTATTTTTAATATTTAAACATATATATTATTAACATTTAAAACATTTCATATTATTTAAAATATAAATATCTAATTTTGAATGGTTTAGTGCCTAGAAGTTCAATTTTAAATACGTGAAAGAAAAGTAGTTTTCAAGAAACTTCGTGATGATTTCAAATATTTCTTGCTCAGGAAATTTCAATGGGAGGGGGATGTATAAGTAAAATTCAAGGTTTGGATTTTTGCACTTGAAATTGCAAAAATATGCACTATAATATTACTTTAAAGTTTAATGTTTAAATGTCACTAAATATGTGCTAAAAATATGCTGGAATAAAAACAACAAAATATTCAAAAATTGGATTTTAAAAATAAAGTTAAGCACAACTTAAGACGCGACAAAGAATAACCACAACAAGTTTAACCGAAAACACAACTAGTATAGTAGGTACGATTACTCAATAGTCGACGGTATTAATATAGTATATGTATTAGGTACGCCAACGCTTTAAACACTCGCTGGTTGATAATCGTAGCCGTAAATGACAATGAGTCCATCAAAAATATTAGATAACAAAAAAAGTTTAAAGTTAAAACTACATACCCAATTCGAAATGATGCGTCAGTGTGTCCGTGTAGTGAGTTTATTGACTATTGAACGTTTGTACTCAATTTATATTCACTTTTCAAATTAGACAATAATCATAAACACGTTTATTAAAATGTTATTTCATACAATATGAGCAATTTTCTTTAAAAAATTAGTCAAAATGCAAAAATATCTCAAAAAGCACAAAAATAATACTAAAATCTAAAAAATCGCATAATATGCAAAATAAAATGTTTAATTTCAGTTCTCTGAAACACATTTTAAGCTTACTCTGCTATCTTTTATAAGAAATATGCAAATGCTACAAAATTAAAACCCTGGTAATAATACATTTAAATTAATTGTGGTGTAAAGACAGGAATAAGGGGATTTATGGGACAATGGTTAGGGGGGCATAACCCCTACTACCTCCCACGTGCATGCACTGATGTCTTCTAAGGTTCTAACTTATTAATAGTACCTAGGTGAGGTGGGTACAATTGTATGCTTATATAGTATGGTCTATTTTGTTAGAAAACACAGCCGAGATCGAATCCCATTTAACAACCATGTTATTGTGGTGTAACAACGGCCCGGACGACCCGAACGGTAACGATCTAAACAAATACTTATAATTTACTTTGTATAAGTACAACATGACGTAATATTTACCATATCTTAAAATATCATCAGATTATAGGTATTAGGGAATATATAGTCTATGATATAGTATATATATATACTCATTAGTCATCCAAAACGATGATTTTTTATAATTTCAACAACAAACGTGCAATGCAATGCATTTATAAAAAGGTGCTCTGCTGTATAGTAGGTTACAAGTGGGTCACTGTATAATGGATGGTATTAAATTTGAATTCAATGACATAATATCATTGTATAAGAAAAACGATTCTGAGCGGAGACTGTATAGGTATGTCAATCTAGGTATAAGACATATTATATACTTATCTATGGTATTAAAAAAAATTGACCTATAATAAATTCCAAATTAATCATATCGTAATATCTATTAAGTACTTATAACTTGTTATACATCAACAACAAACTATGATACTATCATAGATATATAATAGTGTACTTTAGAAGTTTCAAGTACAAACGAATAATATTATACAATCACAACAAAATAACTAAAATAGTTATTCTAGGTTTTTTATTATGTGATTTCGTCCAAATTTTAACTTAAAATGAATATAAAAATAAAATTTGCTTATGTATTTTTTATATTTTTTGGTAACAGTATTAACTACTTACGTGGAATCTTGTTTTAAATTTTCAATCCTTAGATATAAAAGTTGAACATTTTATAAATTTTTAACTAAAAAATAATTATTCAATTTTAAATTTGATAAATGTTGTCAAAATTCGATCTTTAAATGCTTATAAAAAAAAATTGTGATTGTGTATTTTTAATATTTTTCAACTGATATTGTAACAATATATCAGGAACCTTATATTACATTTTTACACCTTTTTGGCCCAACAGATAAAGTTTATTGATATTTATAGAAAAAAAAACTAAAAAAATTGAAAACTGACAATGTCCGCAAATAGCTCAAAAATAGTCAAATTATTTTCAAAATTATATGGTGTATAGAAAATGCTAATTCAAACATTCAGTGAAATTTTCAAGTATCTACAGTCATTCGTTTTTTAATTACAACAAAATAAGGAAATCGCTACATGAGAAATCGAGTGAATATCCAATGTTGTAAAAATTTGAATTTCAAACGCTCATAAAAATTTAATTTGACTTTCTTATAGTCATTTTTTTTTTTTGATAAAGGTAGATAATCTTATAAGGAATCTTGTATTACATTTTAAAATCTTAGATTTAAAAAGAAAACGTTTTATGAATTCTTAACTCAAAATAATTTGCTAATTTTCGTGATTTTTCCATATTTTGTAGATTTTTGAACTTTAAATGATTATAAAAAAAAAATGTGACTAAGGATTTTTAATATTTTTCATCTGCTTTTAAAACAATATACTAGGAGCCCTCTATTAAATTGTCAAGCTTTTTTAACCAATAAATATAATTTTATTGATATTTTTAGAAAAAAAACTAAAAAAAATAGGAAAATGAAAATGTCCCTAAGCAGTTCAAAATAAATCAAAATATTTTGAAAATGTTATCGTGTATAGAAAATGCAAATATAAACAACCAGTGAAAATTTCATGTATCTACGGTCATTTATTTTAAAGTTACACCAAAAACCAAATTCAATTTTGTGAAAAATCGATTTTGCGTAAAAATTCTCGTTTTTCCTTAATTTTTCTTTTGTTTTTCTTGGCGCTTTTGTAAATTACTGGGGATTTTAAATTTTGACCTCTTCAATGCACCAACGATATTCAGTTTCCAATCAAACAAGATATTGAAGTTGAAAATCGAAGTATTATTTCGACTACTTATTGGTTATAAACAAAGAAAAATAAAATATGCAAAAATGTTTACTAAAATGTTCCGGTATATTATGAAACACATTTCTATACAGCTTAGACACTTAGTAGTTAGTTGTATTTTGAATTATTAATGAAAAATATGTAAATTCCCGTAAGTCCTTGTCATAAGTTTATAACTTATAAAATATATTATTAATTACATCGTGCATAATAATATAACGTGTTTACGCTGTCAAGCAGCCGATCGTCATGGTCAAAGGCGTCTCAGTGGGAGCTGTCAATTATCCGGCGACGGCGTCTTCGGCCGCGGCTTACTGCACCCTCCCACGTTCCTCTTACCACCACCACCACCAACACCACCAAAACCACAACCTGCACAACCACCAACATCATCATCAACAGCAACAGCAACACTGGCAGCAGCAGCAGCAGCAGCAACAACAACAGGCGCATCACCCACAGCAGCTGCACCAACTTCCCACCGACCTGGAAGTGGACGTGGTCGAACCGCCGCCGCCGCCCTGGCCACCACACAATCTTACCGGCGCTTACCCGGCGACTGTGATCGTCGTCCCGTCACCACCGTTGCCCTCACCACCGGTACAGCAGTCGACACCGACGGCCGCGGTCATCGTTCCGGCGCCCGACAAACCTCAAGCGGTCAACAAACGAGAGAGCGCAGTATGACGACGTCGGAGCACGGATGTTTAAACGATATTATATTATAAAATAAAAAATTATTATTATTTTACTGTTATCGTATAGAAAATAGTTGTAAGTATAATCTAATATTATTATTCAATTTCGTTCATTTTGTTTATATTACTTTTGTCATTATAATTTCGTTTTCGTTATTGTTGGAATTTTTATTTCGACATGTAAATTATTATAATTATAATTAATTGTTTACGACTTCTTGTACTATACCTGACGTGTGTAAAATCGCACACGCATATATTATACACACACCCATATACACATCCGTACCCGCCTCCACTCACACACATACGTTGTTCACTTGTTTGCACCAAATTTATAATTTCCCCCTTTCCCCCCAAAAAAAATTTCAACACCGTAAGCAGAACATGTTTTTTTATATATTATATATTATACAAATATAAAATACAGTCGTATACTATAAATAGTAATAATAATACAATTATTATTATTACTATTATTATTATTATTATTATTATTATTATTATTATACAATTATTATTGATATTTAATTACAAAAAAAGATTTTTATTAATACAACTGTATTCACAATATGTTCGTTAATTTTTTAATTCTGTACAAATACCATTAAAAAAATTAAAAATATTATTATTGCATTGTATTTATAATAATATGTAATAAAGTTTCATTATTTCAAATGTTTACGAAAAAAAAAGTACATTCATATAATACTATAGACATTATAATAAATTGTAAGTTGTAATATATGATATTTAATAATATGTCAATAATGCTGTTATACCATTCGAGTAGAGATGATGGTATACTATGGTAGCATGTGGAAGTTTGGGCTGTGATGAGGTAAGTGAGGGCGGCGCCTCACCTAAGAATATAATAACCTGGTAATTAGTTTTAATACAAATTGTTTTATTATTATATTATGAAAAGTAGAAAAAATATTGTAGTACCTAAGTCAAATTACATTTTAGCATCAAAAATAAAATCTACATTTTTTTTAACAAATTGAAATATTTAAGTATAAAAACTTGAAAATGTTTCAAAGTATTCGATTTTTCTGTTTGGTATTCTTTATAATTTGTATAGATAGTATTTGTGAATTTATCATTTGTAAATAAAATAAAATATAAATAATTTTACTTATATATTAATTTTAATTTTGCTCAATTGAAAATAATACATTGGTGACTATTTAAATCAGCGAATAAATATGTCTAACTCAGTGTCTTCAGGCAGTGATCTTATATGATCAAGATTAAAAACAAAAACATAGTACAGAGTGGTCATGTGCATGCAATTTTACTGCAGTAAAAGTCGAGTAAACGTAAACCCATTAAACGTGCTGACTGAAATCAATAATCGTATTGCGATGATGACACCGACGAACTTCATTACGAATTATTTATGAGGATGGCAGCTAGGTCAGACGTCAGGTAATAGTAAGTAGCAAGTTAATGATGTAACCCTGGTCTCTTATTTAAGGAGACTCGGGTTAGCAATAATTGCTCCCTGTGGTACTTCTCAGGGAGCGGGATAATGTTTGTAAATTAGTGGAATTTATTATTGGTCCTCCGATGCGATGATGACAAAAATGGTATTCAACTTGTATTCATAGCTCCAGCAAATTGAATTACATAGAAGAAAAAATATTGGCGTTAAGGGCGTCGAAGCCGATGCGTTTTTCAATACAAAATTATGTCTTACTGAAAAAACTCAAGCCATGTAGAATCGGATTTCTTTGGTTTTTTTTTTTATTAAAAAGTAGAACATTTTGCAGGTTGGATCTAAGCCCAATTTTCAAAATTATAATTATAGAAACTAAATGTACATTTAAATATGCATTTGAATAATGCACAATATTTGTTCTTTTTCAGCCACTATTCTACTCATTCTACCACTATTTAAAGTAAAATGAAAAATCAGCATTTGACCCGACCTGGAAAATGTTCTTTTCTTTTATAAAAAAAAATACTAACGAAATCCGAATATTCTATAGTGCGTGAGAGTTTTTCCTGTTAAGTCCTTTTCGTTGATATATTTCACCATATCAATCCCCCCCCCTCTAAATAGGTATCGAACTGCAGATTAGTAGAAATATATTATAATCAAGCCATTAAGGTAGGTAGTACTAGAGTACCTACCTAAAATATATAATAATTATATATAATTTATATATAATTATATATTATTATAGTTTCCAAATTTCATTGCATATTGAAAAATTGGAAAATTGGAAAAACCGCCACCGATACCCTTAAGGATATATATATAGGTATATTTTGGTTTTGATTATTGAATTATTTAGATGGTGTGAACGCTATAACATAATTAACTTTTTAAGTTTGTTAATCTTAACAGGATGGTGGTATATAGTTTTCTAATTTTGGAATACTAACTTCTAAAACTGTAGTTAGCTTTTAATGACAATAGCTGATCTGGGTTAGTGTCTCCATAAATGCAATATTTTAATTTAGTTAATATTGTAAAATAATATTAATACAATTATGAAGTTTTTATTACAATGAAATCTCAATCATTCGGAAATTCTATATTGGGAAAAACACCCTAAGCAATATTTTTATGAATGAGATGATACACTTGCATAATGGAATAATAAATTGCACTAAAGTAACAGTTAAAATAGTACCTTTCGTGTTGGATGGTCTATCCATTGTTTGAAAAGGTGCTTAAATTAATGGATTTTTCAAAACAATTTGAACGAAGAATCACTGAGTACATATTATAGCCACACGGTCGAACACGGTTAAAAAAAAATGATAAATAATAAACACGTTAAAATATTACGTGCTCATCCCAAACTCCTAGGAAATGGAAACAATGTAACCGTTAAATTGAATAACAATATTTTCTTATTTACTATAATGAGAAGTTATGAGGTTTCGCACAAACAACTAGTCAATGGTAGGCAGAATACAAAATAACCACTATAATTTAATGTTATCTCTTCCCACTAAACATTTTATGTTACTAACATCTATGAGATGTATTTTTTGGGATTCATACGGAACATCACATTGCAATGTCAACAAAACATATTGAAGATGTTTGTTTTTAATTGTCACTAAATTATAAATATATGACATACCTACAACGTATAAAACTAAACTTATAGGGAACATCGCATTGAAATATCAATAAGACATTTTGGGGCTATCACTGCTTTGTTTACACCGATTAAAATACTCGCACTTTATTAATAGAAATTGTGCTATAGCTTATATAGGTAATATTATAAAATTATTAGGTTTTCCCTTGGCGTAATCGTCGGGTTGTTATACAGCTACAAATATTATATTGGTGGGGGTTGCGACTTGCGGGCGGTCGGGAGACTAATATTTACCATTGTATCTGTGTGTCTGTGTGTGTAATTATTACACAATTAATGTGATTCAGTATTTTAGAATTATTTTGAGACGCATCCGATTGATCGACTACGGTCTACGACGCGTTTTGTACTGACGGTAGTACGGTACTGTGCACTTTTATAACCTAACTCAACAGTTAACTATATAATATATTGGCATATTGTTTTAATAAGTGATTTTAGTGATTTGAAACAAAATATTTCGTACCTAACCGGGCTAACAATGTCTTCTAACCAGCAATGCCGCAAGGTAAGTTTATAAACAATATTATAATATAATAGGTCCCTGTTGAGCAGCCGCTCTTCCAAAATTTGGGTGGGTAGGTATTAATATTTGACATAATATACATTATACATAGACAATACTAGAAGTAATGAATTACTAAAATAATGGATGTATAAATATGTGTATATAAAATAATAATAAGCTACTATAGGTAGATAGGTAATCTAATTAGGTACTAACAAATATGTTGTGAATACGTTTAAAATCAGTAGGTAAATAGTCAATATGTTTAAACCATAAAATATTATATTATTTAATAATTTTGTGAGCTGTATTACATGAATATATTATAATATATATTGTGCATTAAGCCTTGATATGTACAGCGAGCGTAGATTTGGGTGGGTGGGTGGATAGATAAAATTATTCCCTCCCTGTGTTAAAATAGCTCACCTCACCACTGCTGTTGAGAAATATTAATTGTTGTTTGTTAAAATCTTGAGTTCGGAATATCTTCACTAAAAATATGTAGGTACTAAGTACTGATCCTAAGTACCTACCTAGTGTTGTAAATTTCAATCTTGGTATTCTTTTTGAATGCGGTCTACCACAGATTTGTTGACTTTATAGGTAATATAATATAATGCTGTAGTCTGTAGTTTATCGTATGAAATTTAATAAATAATTAAAATATGAATAAATAAAAAAAATGTTATATTTAATAATACTTAAAGAACATATTATATATTATATACTTATTTTAGGTATCATTAAAATACACAAATGTATAAATTACATCATTATTTACATTATATAAAATACCGCATGGGTACAAGAATACCAAGTATATGAGAAAATTACTTCAGCAAGTTTTAAAATACTTTTCTTAGTAAAATACTTCAATATCTACCTATTTAAACATTAAAATAATTTAACAGGATTTTGAAATTTCAAATAGGTACCCCCGTAGGTACCTAATTTTTGAAGTATGTGTATAGGTAACTACTAACTACTTTTTGAGTGTTTTTTACAACATTGTAAGGAGGTACCTTCTTCATATTATAATTATAGTAATGTGATACAATATAAAAATTTTAATTCATTCTTTTTTGTTTACCTACCTAGGGTCGATCATTAAAACGTTGGGTAGTTGCTATTTTTACCGATACCAAAGACTTTAGTGTTGTGCCAATTAATTGGCTCAACTTAGACTTTAATCTGGAAGATTTAACACAATCTAATATTTCATCAGTTCAGTACTGTCGATGGCCACCATTTAAAGTAACCAGTTTGGAGTTAATGAATGCGGATGATGCAGAAGAAACATGGCAATCATTTAAAATAAAAATTATGGATGGTAAAATATATGGTAATACATTT